TGTACCGTTTTGAACCGAATTCGACAAAAATTGATTTTCTGGCTTTATTAGGCATCAAAACGCATCAAACCCTAATAGAAATTTGTTTCTAAATGCCTCAGGAACCATACTATGTCGTCAAAGTGCCGAAATATTCATTTCTTTATTTTCCTTATATGCATGGTCGAACCTTCATTTTTTACGTTTAGTTCGCCCGTTTCGCCGCTAAATGGACGCCAATTTTTTAGTCCATAAACTGCACTATTTGTAAAAGTTTGCTACTGCGCATGGGGTCAAAGTTCAAAATTGACCGTTAATTTCCAGAAGTGTATTTCAGCCCAGAGTGAAATTTTTTCACCCCTTAAACCTGGATGCTCGCCTTCGGCTCGCTCGTTCAAACATTTATTGTCGTTTTAAATGACTGTTTGATATCGATAATTCATTAATCATAATTTGTAATTATGAAAAGCTCAATCGTAAACAAGCAAGACATTACAGTCGGTCATTGTTATCTATAAACTGCACAGAAAATAATAACGAGCAAAACACTGTTACGGAAGAACGTTGTCACTATATTAGGAAGTCTGGCAGGAGGCCAACGAGATGAATTGCAAATTAAGGGAAATAATCCTATCAATACGATTCGCGTGGAAGGATAAAGTTATTACAATCTATCCAACATTCTTTAATTTGCATAAAGGTATTGCGTTCGTGTTTGTTACGGTTACAGCTAATTTCATGGTTTTTGAATCGAGACACGTTCTATTAGTAACGATGCTTTTACCACCCACGTAGTGCCTTTCAGGATCAAAGCAGAATGATGCCACATACCACGGAGCTTTATTATGTAAACTACGTTGTTACTTCACGTACATGTTTTTTCATGGAAAGTCGGAAATATTTTCAGGTCTCTAAAAATTCTCAGGTGACAAAAGCGGAATATCATACAGTTAGTTATGTAGTTGAAGCATTTGTAATTTTTTTTTACCTTTTGTAAACATTGTTGTAAATGTAGTAACCTATATGTTGAAATGAGTCATGTAGAACTTAAAGTTTGAAATAATTGGCGGTAAACATTAATCTGTTAGGAAGAGTAAAAATGGAAGAGGTGATATTACCAAGGAGAAGGAATTCATTTTTCGAGACGGATCCAGTAGGAGGGGCGGCATCCGCATACCTCTCTAACGAGTCGGCTTATGAGCATGATCTCCTGCCAAGGGAACGCTGATTTTCAGAACTTGGCACCGTCGCATAATTGCTTTTGCACGCTTGAAAAGCCGTTGTCACTGCCTACCGAGCATTGACAAGATGAACATCACCCACGATGACGAGGACCACGATGATGATAACGACTATGACGCATTACCACACAAAGTATTTTTAACGAGACAAATTTGTTGGTCTCTTAGAAATCAAAATCGATCGAATGAAAATAGGACGAGTACAAATGTCCCTTGTATTCTTGTGTCATTCGAAATGAAGATGTCCGTATATCAACCTGCCACGGTTAATTAATCACCTCACATTATTTATAGTGCTGCTTGTATGAAGGATGTGGTAGAAAGAGTATTTGTTTATTGGTTAATAAACTTTTCAAGTAAACTTTTGGTAAAATTTAAATTCTGTATTGATTTAAAAATTCAATAATTTAAAAGAAGGATCTGGAATTTTTTTAGATAATGGAACTGTCATCAAGGTTATGAATTCAAAAAAATAATTAGAAGGAAAAATAGAAGATTAAAAGCAAGAATATGCGTTCCATTCGCGTTTGGCAAATCGCACGCTTCATTGATGAATCGTTCGGAAAGAGTCCGAGGACCCGTTATATTTTCACTGGTATACTAAGCCAGGTATATACGTTGATGTTGTAATAGTTTGCAACGCGTGGGTGTAGGATCTAAGAACAGCAACCCGGTCTGAAAATTGCACATGGATATTACTCGACGTTGTTCCATCGCCCAAGAATTATAATCATTTACCTAAAGATAGACAGATTTATAAGACAGTCAGTCAGCTCTGAGTAATCACTGTTCCAAGCCGTTTTGGATACCATCCTGTTAACACAATGACCATTGAGAACATTCTAATGCATACTTTGGCAAGATAAATAACACTTCTTTTTCCAATTTTCCTCTATGTTAACATTTTATGAATGAACTACAATCTTGTATACAAGATGTTTGTAAATTTTAACTGTTTATCAAACTTTAGTACAAGAAATAATTTTTATAAATTATTGTATACTTGGTTGCTGTATTAGATCCACTAACACTTTATTTTTCTCTTTCTTTTAAGGTTATGATTTCGATCGTTTTTGAAAGGACCTATAGTGTATTTTATATAAATATGAATTAGATTATCTACTAGCAACTTTACTCGATATTTTAATTTCTTCTTCTCTTTCTTTTAAGGTTATGATTTCAATCGTTTCCAAAAGGACATCACCTATGTGTATATATAAGTATATATAAATATAAGTACATATAAGTATGCGTTGCTGATGGTATATGAATTTACATAGCGCAATAAACTTTATTCAAATTACGGCGACAATACAAATCCAATAAGAGAAATAAAAACGAAGGGACAAAAGTGCAGCCAGCAAAGACGATCAATGCAGTCTAGCGTGATTTAACATCGGCCTTCTATTTCGCGGAAGACCTACTTATAACATATTTCATTTTTCGTCGCGTCGCTCTATTTTTGCGCCCACTGATTTTCTAGCTGCTTTACCAGACGTGGACGATGTCTTTATACCGGGGTGGAAAAGCCTCGGCACTTCAGGTGTCCGTAGTCCGCCGTGCAAGATATCCGTCAGCATGGTAAGTGTCGCGGTCACGGATTTTTATTATCGTGTTCGTGTTCCATCGTCCGATCAGTGAAATAAATTCGTATCAGTGAATGTAGTTCAATGGAAAAAAATTGAACATATGGTTGTAAAGGAGAGATAACGCAAATCGGGAGCTATGGAAGATAACTGGTCACTGATCTGACTGCAAATTATACTCGGATTTAAAAAAAATATGCAAGATAAACGGAAAGATTAAATTTAAAAATTAAGTGGTATTGTTAATAACTGTTATTCAGCTTACAACTGTAAACCTACTAAACGTACTTTGTCATGTAAATTGTAGTAAATATAATTTTGTTAAATTAAATTATGAGTCGAATCGTTGATAGCAATAAAAGAGCTAATAATAAAATAATGAAAATGATTTAAAATTTATAGGAGGAAGACGACCAAAAGATGGCCGTGATGCGAAAAGCATTTCAAATGTTCGACACCACGAAGAGTGGTTTCATCGACACTCTGAAGATATCAACGATATTGAACACCATGGGCCAATTGTTCGACGACGCAGATCTAAACGCTTTGATCGAGGAAAATGATCCAGAAGGAACAGGGAAAGTAAACTTCGACGGATTCTGTAGGATCGCTGGTCGATTCTTAGAGGAAGAAGACGCTGAGGCGATGCAAGAGGAATTGAAGGAGGCTTTCCGTTTATATGATCGCGAAGGGAACGGATATATCACGACGGCTACCTTGAAGGAGATTCTTGCGGCTCTCGATGACAAACTTACTAGTGCTGATCTCGACGGTATAATCGCTGAAATTGATACCGATGGATCTGGCACGGTCGACTTCGATGGTGAATATTTCAACTTTAAGACATGACTTATACAATCTATTTAACTTGACCAAAAATTTTTGTGATTTTTTGTTTTAGAATTTATGGAGATGATGACCGGAGAGTGATCAGCTTACAATTAAAATGTTAATTTAATTTTTTCGTTAGTGTCTTAATTGTTTAATAAAATGCTCGTTTAAAACCTGTGAACCCGTCCTTAATCCTAATTCTAGTGAAAGGTGTATAGAGACCATATTTTATAATAAACATTTGCTCTTTAAAGCAATTTATTCATTATAATTGATACATTGATAAATCAATTTTTTTTGATAGATTAATGTTACAATATTTCGCGCACTAAATTCGTGATATTAAATCATCGTATACGGCTCCACCAATAGGAACTGGATTTACTGAGTGATGTCGTTGGTGGGTTGTCCTGCGTGGTAGACGAGAACGTCCTTGACGAAGATGTTGGGGACGCTGAGGGCACCAGGGGTCAGAGGTCTGTCCAATGGGAAACCAAGGGGTTTGCCATCAAGGGAGATGGCACCACCGATGATTTCAGAGATGGGTTTGTTCTGGAAGTATTCGCTGACGGTCGGGTCTTGAACAGTTTGTGGCTGAGCGTAGGCACCTTGGAAGCCACCAGCGTGTTGTTGTCCACTAGCGACGATGCCAGTTCCGGCGATTCCACCTTGTACTTGTGGTCCCCAGGATTGTACTCCACCGATACCTTGAGCTCCTTCCATACCGTATGCGATCTTAACAGCTTGAGGGCCTTGTTCAGCGCCTAATGTTTGTTGTACTCCTTGGAGACCAGCGGCAACACCTTGTACGGTACCTTGGATTCCTTGGACACCTGCGAGACCTTGTACACCAGCTACGCCAGCTGGGACGCCTTGGAGACCTTGTACGCCTTGTTGGACACCTTGTACACCTTGTTGAACACCTTGTACACCTTGGAGGTTCTGGGTTCCCTGCATTCCTTGTAAACCTTGTACACCTTGGGCACCGTGGGATCCCCATTTGATTCCGTGGTGTTGTCCGTAGATCATTTGAGCGGCTTGGTATTGTTGTCCTGCTTGTCCTGCTTGACCTTGGGCTTGAGCTTGAGCACGAGCTTGGGCTTGGGCTTGGATTTGTTGTTGGATCTGGTTCTGCATTTGTGGGGTTTGTCCAGAGATCGATTGTCCGCGTAATCCCAATCCTTGGGCGGCTGCAGCTGCGTTAGCTACTCCAGCACCAGGTTGAATCCAGGTCATGTCTTCGCCTTGGCCGACTGGGTTCTGGATTTGGTTTTGTGGGTATTGTCCGTGGTATTTGGTGTAGACGTTGGCATAGTGGTTCCTCACGGCTGTAACAGAGCAATGTATAAGACCTTGCAATGAACTATTAACTGTTTCATCGTACCTTGGATTTGTTGCTGAGCGTTGACCAAGTTTTCGGGGAGGACTTCCACGTTCTGTTGGATTCCACCGCTGACTTGAGCGAGGTTTTGTTGTTTCAGTTGTTCGTATTGTTCAGGTTGGACGATCTGGAATTGTTGGTCTTGGAAGGTCAAAGCTTGTTCTGGGATCACTGGTCCGTATGGGACGTTGAGTGGGTTAGAGCTGGTGATCACGACGACAAATTGAAGAGGGAAACCTTGTTGTTGTCCCTTGGGGAGGGCCAATCTAGCTGGGAAGCTGAAGATCTGGTGTGGCTGTAAAATGAATTTTGTTATGAATACCCTTACTATTTTACCCCGAATAAACTGCAAGTAGTTCACAAACCTCAGTGATGTAGTATGGTTCTTGGGAGCGGATAGCACCGTTGACACCTTGTTGGATCTGGGAGACGGATGGCCAGTCAAAGCTCTGTCCTGGGGCTTGTTGAGAGTTCCTGATGATGACGTTCTGGCCAGGGTGAACTGCAAACGAAGAGTGTCATAAGAATGTTGCAATCATTTACAAAAGAAAGAAATATTAGAACATACGGTTGTGGATGAATTGGTCGAGCTCAACGAAGAGATGCCTGTTCTGGGAGATGCCAATGGGTTGACCCTTGTAGTTGTGTTTCGGTCCAAGGTAGACACGGACAACGGCGTTGGGAACGTTTTGTTCGCTGTGTACAGCAATCTGGTATTGGAAGGGATGGTGGTCCAACCTCTTGAGATGAGCCTTAACATGAGCGGTAACTTGTTCTTGTTGTTGTTGTTGGGTCTGTTCAGACTGTGGAGTAACGGAGTCCAGGTCGATGTAGTAGTCAGTGAAGAGTGTAACAAGGTTGCTGACATCAACGTTCTGGATGGTGACTCCAGGGAGGATGAGGTCGTTAGCTTGGTAGGATGGCAGAGATTGTTGGTATTGTTGGTAGAGGTTCATCACTTTCTTGAAGAGTTGGTAGAAGGCTGGGTCGTGCACAGCGGTTTGTCCAAGTTCAAGGGCAGATGGAGTGTAGTCCCATACGTTCTCAACTTCAGGGGCGTTGCCGAGGAGTTTGCGAGCTACAGCTTGAAGGCTTCCGTAGTATCTTGGGTTGATGCTTCTGCCGCAACCTTCGATCAGGTCACCAAGGATGTTCATGCCTTGTGGTTGGTAGAGAGAAAGGAAGCTTCCTTGTGGGGTGATGACATGGCCAGAGTCGATGGCTTCCATCAGTCTTTGTTCCAGGGTGGTGACAGCTTGGATGAGCTGGTTCTGTTGTGGCTGCAGTTGGAGGTTCTGTGGGCGGCTTGGGAATTCAAGTCCGTTAAGGTTGCGGAGGTGTGGTTGGTAGAGAGCTTGCACATTTTCGTAGTCGATTTCTTGGATGGGGCTGAGTCCGTTGGAGAGACGGTTAAGTTCGTAGTGAGCCAACAGTTGTTGGTGGAGGTACAAGAATTGAGCTCCATGGCCGATGGTGTTTTGTTGGTTCTGTCCTACTTGTTGCAAGTATTTGCCTACGATTTGTTGTTGGTATTGTTGCTGAGTCAGGGGTTGTTCTTGTTGTTGTTGTTGTTCTTGGTCCTGCTCAAACAAATAGAACATATGATCTTTCAAATACTGTATGAAAGAGTTTACTTGTTAAGGTTTTACCGATCACTTACGTTGTCCAAGATGTAAGAAGCAAGGTTGACGTAGCTGTAGTAGGCAGCAAGACCAACATCCTGAGTGAAGTAGGAGAGCTGTTGCTCTTCGTGGGACAAGGTAGCGGAGTAGTTGACGGGGATCAAAATGTTGTGTTGGATGTTCTGTTGAATAGCTTGTTGGATGCCAATTTGTTGAGCTTCCTGGATGATTCTGGCGTCCAAGTGGAATTGGGGCAGGATTTCGTAGGCTGGGGGGAGGATCACACCCTGTGTGTCTTGGCGAGTCAGAACAGCAGCAGCAAAGGCCTACAGAAGAAGATTTGATGAGTCCATTGCATTTATGCAATTGTTCTATGTTCTCTTCGTGCGATGTTATACCTTAACGAATTGTCCTTCGTTGACATGAACGCGAGCCCAGGCAGCGGTCTTCAGGAAAGTTGGGTAGTCCTTGGCGCCTAATAAAATTCTGGAAAGAAGGGCGACTTCTTTGCGCAGTTGGCTGATGGAGTTGCTGTACACTGTACCCTTAGGTTGTACCAGACCAGCTCTTACAGCACCACTGTAGTATTTCACAATGATGGGGTTGTTGTATTGGTGTGCATTGCTGTCGATGTCATAGGTAGTGCCAAGGTTCTGAAGCTGTGGGTTCGGGATTTCTTGTGTGATCTTTTGCAGGAGTTGGATACAATCTTGTTGTTTTCTGAGGAGATCCTGGTCAGCTACAATGAATAAATTATTAATTATTATTTCAATAAACAATTGTTAAGATTCAATTTGGTTCATAAGATGTTAGGCAAGTTATGAAGAGTAGATGGAGAAAAAGAAATTCAAAATTCAAACACCAGTTTTCAAGAGAAAGTTTATGATATTATTACCAAATAGTTATAAGATTTTAAAAGTGTTAACTTACCAGCGCGTTGTTTGACGCTACCGCTGTTGCAGGAGGCAAAAGCCACAAGACCTAACAGGACAAATAAGAACCTCATTGTATATGATGAAATAGTACAATGTGATGCTGACTGAACGTTCCGCCAGGCTTTTATACCCAAATCCTATCGAAGAAAGCGTTTATCGGCGACCTGTCGACCCACCTCCCTCAAGATTTCGCGGTCTAACCGCGATATCCTTTGCTACTTCGAATATGCTCGACGCATTCGATCGAAGGTTAACCGATGATACGTATCATCGTCAATAGATTTTGTATCAGGTTGTAACAAAATTTAGCACCTCTTATCCGCCCATATTCTGCGATATGCACTTAGTCAATTTTTCTCTTCATACTTTAACTAAAGATGTACAGTACTTAGTCTGAAATTAAAAATGAAGTTGAAAAATAAATAAATAATGAAATATAAATTAATATACATATTCTTTACCTTCATGAACATTAACAGATTCTAAAGAAATTGCCTTAACTGATTTTATAAGAAAAAATTTGTAAAAGGGTCATTTGGCCTTTTTTGTAGTTGTAGTGTTAATAAAATTTCAATCTTCTTTCTCAGGGTTCAAGATTCTATGGATTCAAGCTTCCATACATTTTCAAATGGTTATTTTTCACAACATGCATTATTTTTTATAATATCAAGGTTTTGAAATTTCAATGTTCCTCTTGAGTTTCTATGATTTAAAAATTCTTTCCTTTCCATTCTCCAAAGTTCCATCCAGAGTGCCACTCCTCCTTGGAATGCATTATTTTTTATAATATTAAGGTTTTGAAATTTCAATGTTCCTCTTGAGTTTCTATGATTTAAAAATTCTGACCTTTCCATTCTCCAAAGTCCATCCAGAGTGCTACTCCTCCTTGGAAGTTATTGCAAATTTTTACTAAAACCTGAAAAAAGACATGCATCAGACTCTGGAATCACTATTTCTAAAATAAAAAATTTCAGAAAAAATAGCAGCCTATTTCCAGCATAATATTTATTAAGTAATTTTAATTTTACTTTTATTATATAATATATAATAGTACTACTAATACTACATAGATTGGCAAATTTATTTATTTATAATAACAATAATGATTTACTATATACTGACATGTTATTTTAATTAAAAAATTTATATCGATTATTATTTCGCAATAAAGTTCAATTATCAAAACATTTTTAACATTTTTAGCAGTTGCAAAGAGAGCACAAAATATTGAGGGTCATCGGTATCTTCGCGCGCGGGATAATATAAGATAATGAGTGTTGAACTCTCAGGTGACTATATGCGCAAGGGTTATCACTTTGTTTACCTCTTAAATGTTTCGACTGTATTTTTATATCCCCGGGGGGTAGACAGAAAGGACAAGACCTTTATCAATAAGCAATTCTTCCAATAAACACGCAGGGAGATAAAGAAGATTCGATTGTTTTTCCTTTTTTCCTGCATTTGAAGTTTTCGTTTATTAGAACATGCAATTCGTGTATGTGCATGATAAGAATTTGAAAAAATATTCTATTATATCTTTGCATGGTAATATCGTTTAATAAATTTCTTTAGTGATAAGTCAGTTTTTACCATTCTCTTTTTTTGGGTATACGATGACGCGCTGCTTTTTGCGAATAATTGCATACGAAAACATGAAAAAAACAAATCTCGTGAAAGTACGATAACATAAAAAAGCAAAAATATACTTTGGTTTCAGATAATAGCAGCACAATCAATTGCAACTTTTTTCTTGTTTTACCCTGTATCATTGCTATTTTTTAATTTCTCGTGTTGATGCAATAGTACGCCTATAACCCTGCAATATTTGAACAAATTTCAGAACAAAAGTTTTCAACCATAAAAGATGCCATTTTGAACTGTCATGTTATAGCTATATACCTGTAGTGTTAAGTAACTTCTTCTCCTCAGTTTGAATTATTCCAAACCGCTCTATAATAGCTATAAAAACTATTTTTACAGACAAATATATATAAATAATTATAATTTGATAACAAATTTTTACCATAACAACAATAATTCGACAATACTTATATCCATCCATACTTCAACTCAAAAATTAATCTGAAACATCGAAATATTTGAGTACTATCGATTTTTTAGAGCTTCAAGCATATCTAGCGCAACGCGTGATTTAAATGTGGCCGCTACGGATCCATGAAATTCATTCTACAAATAGAATTATCTTTTATTTAGATTGCTTTCCATTCGTCCAAGCACTTGATTCGAAATCGAACGACCTTTTCGTTCGATATCCTTACGATCGAAATTATCTCTCCTCTTTTGAGCTTTTTGTCAATTACACGCGCACGTGTATACGTTTTATATATGTATATACTGTCATTTAAAGTACTGAACGTAACCTTGAAAAGCCCACCCTCGAAGCACAAGTTCAATCGCTGCGGGTGAAGCAACACATTTTTTCCATATACGAAGATTTAGGGAGATCTGTAACTTCCAATCATAGATGACGATCGCTGATAAAATGTCGACATAGGAGATCGAGAACTACGACGAAGTGACGTTTAGTTGCTGGTGTCGTGGTAAGGTGCAGGTATAGGTTAGGGCAAAGTAGCAACGGTTTCGTTTAGAAAGGACGAAAATGTTCTTAAAAAATTAAGCGGTAAATGCCGCTATTAGGCGTGATAAGCATTTTATTCAGTATGGTGCAACGTCCAGTAGCGCCTAGGCGCAACGTCAGAATTCTGTTGATCGGTGATCGTGGAGTCGGTAAGACTTCTCTGATATTGTCATTAGTGAGCGAGGAGTACGCGGAGGATGTACCCTGCAAGGCAGAGGAAATCACAATACCGGCTGATGTCACTCCTGAACAAGTGCCCACGCACATTGTTGATTATTCAGGTACATAAGAATATTCTAATATTCTTATAAATTATAGGAAACATTCAATGATCATCCCATTTGTGATATTTGATTTTTAGCTGCGGAGCAAAGTGAAGATCAGTTGAGCGATGAGATTCAAAAGGCACATGTAATTTGTGTAGTATATTCTGTGGTTGATGAAGATACGTTGGATAAAGCAGCTAGTTACTGGTTACCGTTGATCAGACGATGTTCATCCAACAATCGTTGTCCGGTGGTTCTTGTAGGGAACAAGATCGACCTGGTTGATTATTCTACCATCGAGGTTTAGCGCAATTGCAAAAGTTATATTATTTGATCTACTTATGTGATGTATTAATTTATTTTAATTTACAGGCTGTATACCCTATAATGAAAGAATTCACTGAAATTGAAAGCTGTATTGAGGTAAAAAGAATTATAATTGTTTTAATAGGAATTAAAGCAGTTTTTTTATTTTTTATTGATTTTAGTGTTCTGCCAAAACATTACAAAATGTTTCGGAAACATTTTATTATGCACAAAAAGCTGTTTTACATCCTACTACTCCATTATACAATTATGATACTCAAGAGGTAAGATGTAGTAAAGGTATATTTCATTATAAAGATGTCTGAATAGTTTACTAACATAATACAATGTTTAGCTTACAGAAGAATGTAAAATTGCACTCCGAAGAATTTTTAAGGTAACTAAACATTGTTTAAAATTTGTACATTCTACTTGCACCTACATACATATTCTACATACACATTGGATTATTTGATACAGATTTGTGATTTGGATAATGATGGTTTGTTAAACGACATGGAATTAAATGCATTTCAACAATGGTGCTTCAACACTCCATTGCAACCACAGGTTCTGGAAGATGTAAAAGCTGTCTTGTCAAAAAATATTCAAGATGGCATTTGTAATGGATGTGTTACTATGAAAGGTATTTTGCATTAGGTAACATATAAAGACTGGTATAGGAAAATGTCTTTATTGTTTGCAGGTTTTATGTATTTACAATGTTTATTTATACAACGGGGAAGAAATGAAACAACTTGGGCTGTGTTGAGAAAATTTGGTTATGATAATGAGTTACAAATGTCTAAAGAATATATAAATCCACCGTTAGTATAAAAACAATAAAAGATATTAAAAATTGAGTTTCTTCATATATATTTTGCATGTTCTTTTTATATTATGTAGGCTTAAGGTTCCTGTTGGTTGTACGACTGAATTATCACACAAAGGTCAAGAATTTTTAACCTTGTTATTCATGCAACATGACCGAGATCGGGACGGTGCTCTTTCGCCATCTGAAATGGAATCATTGTTTTCACGATGTCTAACTGCACCCTGGGGAGAAGAATATAAATATACTGTACCAACTAATGAAAAGGTATATTTTTACCCCTTATCAATGCTTCATTTCTCCATTTAATTACTTTTATAATTGTTTTGATTGATAGGGGTGGATGACGTTTCAAGGATACATGTGTCAATGGGCATTGTTAACTCTTACTAATGTGCGGAAAACTCTAGAATATTTGGCATATTTAGGATATAACATGTATAATAACGAATGTCAAACAAACGCAGTTGTAGTTACTCGTGAGAAAAAGTTGGATTTGGCAAAGAAACAATCGAGTAGGAACGTTTATAGTTGTCACGTGATTGGTCCGAAAAGCAGTGGAAAAACAACATTATGTAGAACATTTGTTGACCCTAAACTCGAGGTACATGTATACAAATAGTATATATTGATACTAGATATCGGGTTGGAACTATTTTCTGGTACGCATTGGGCTATCGCTCTCTTCGTCCGTAAATTTCACCGGCTCTACATATATGTAAATGTAATGCTATTAAAGTAACTATGTAATACGGTTGCAGAAGTTAACTGATGAAGTGGTACCGTCAAGTTCACACGTAACCGTAAACACGGTTCACGTGTATGGTCAAGAAAAGACAATAATTTTGCGGGACATAAACATACTTAATGTTCAAGATGCTTTAACTCCAGCACAAATACAATGTGATGCGGCAGCTCTCGTTTACGATGCTAGCAATCCTAAGTCATTTGAATACATCGCACGAATTTATATTGTAAGCGTTGTATTTCATTGTTGAACCAAGTGTGTGTAAGGTACATGTAGTAAATTAATTTTATTCTTTTTTCAGAAATATTTTGCGGACAGTAAGATCCCCGTTCTCATAATAGCAAATAAAAGTGATCTTTCTGAAGTAAAACAAGAATATTTACTGCAACCAGTAAGTTTTTGCAATAAGTACAAACTGATGCCGCCACAACCTTACAGCATCTCTCGCACAGTACGTCGGGAAATCTTCGTTAAATTAGCAACGATGGCAGCTTTCCCGTAAGTTCAATTCTTTAGATTATTCACTACGAGTAGATATAATTTATACAACTATTACAACCCAAAGACATTTTATGAAGTCACGTTAAATTCAAATTATCACAACAAAGTATTAGTCTCAAAGTTATGTTGCATTTTGTTTGTTATTGTCAAATGTTATTTTATAGCTTTTAAGAAAGATATTTTTCCAACTGAATTATTATTAGATACTAACAAAAAGATTTCATGTTTAGCCGCTTTCAAGGAGCATGGGTATTATTTTACAGAGACAGGTTGGTCTGAATTTTTGCAACAACGTAAGCATTGTAAGCTTGAGCAAATCGTGAATCACATTTTTTGTTCTGTTTTATTCATGTATCACTGCACGTATACACGTCCAGATATGTAGTCGTCAAATGTGCTAGGCGATTTGCTCAGAAGTTGCCGCATGATTAAGGCTATCATAACATGGTCTTAAATATTTTCAGTCCTTTGAGGCGTATGGTCCAAATGTTGCTTGTGAAACCCTCACCTACTCAATGGTGGAGTTCTTTTACAAGGTTTTTGTTCGTATTATAAGTTTCTGCTCATTTCACGGCGTGCTCACGACTTACAATATGAAATGTTACAACTACTATTTTTTTTTTTGTATCTGCATGAGCATGAAGTACGAGTGATTTTTGAATTCTTATCGTGATTTTTTATATTCCATGTACATTTTGGAGATACAGTTTGTATTTTATATTACGTATGTTATGTTTTTGTGACATTTTAAAAAAACTAGCAATACTCTATAGGGTGGTGTGTTATGTTATTATTTAATTACATTATTTAATACAATATGTATGTACACATGAGTTTTCTCGTTATTGGTGAATTGGTGTAATTTATTTTCGATCGCTATGAAAAATAATTCTTAACGTTACAGACATATAAACCAATTTGGACTAATGCAAGGGGACTCCATTGTCTGGTGGAAGGCAGGTCTTGGAATTGCAGTTGCTACTGTTGCTGGTTTTGTGGTGATGCGTGTATTAAATACGGAGAAAAGATAGTCTACCATATTTCTTTTCTTGCACATTTAACTGCCTCTTTTGGTGAAGTATAAAACCGTCTTTGGAAAACGCGTTAAGTTAATAAACTATGTTCTTAAATCATTAATTCCTTATCCTTGACTGGTTTATAATTAAAGAGAGATTTTTTTGTTTATCGTTCTACTATTTAATGTACTAATTCATTGGTGAGTTCTCATGTTGCTTAGTTTGATGTTTTATTCACATATTATGTTGCTTTGCACATATCCAAATTTTTATTTCTTGCAGCACATTTGAAACGCTATTGTATTACAAAAATACAGGACTTTATAGCTGTACTTCAGTCACGAGATTTTGGTTTAATAGAAGTTATTAATCTCTAGCAGATTAAGTTATTGCTCATAACCTTACTAATATTAATATGAAGATCAAAAATTTTTCCTACAATTCTGGCTAAAATAGTTTTTTTGTTAAATTTACAAATACGTGCGTGTATGTGTGCACATTTTGATTTGCTATCATATATTATTAAAGAAGAGAGTAATCTTAGTAGTTGAAATATTAGTGGCACATTCCACATTCTTATCAGAAGTAATTAAAGTACATTACACAATAATAAATATCACTATTTCATAATGCTTTTATAGATATAGTTCTTAAAATCACTATTTCATATAACTATTTAAAAGTGTTTAAGCTACAATGCAGTAATTATTCTTAATTTTACATTATTAATAATTCTGCTGTTATATAATCTGTTTCTTTCAATCAGTTTATTAGTGACATGAGGCGATTTTGTTCATATATATAAACACACATATATAGGAAGACCAGGAATGGAGTACAATAAACAACAATACATATACACAGAAATTAATTTATTCCAATTTGATACACGTACTGATCATAACATATCTGTAATACATGCAGGTAATACTTAACAGAATTTTGTTTTAACAGATATTAGAATTGTTCATAAAGACTATTGAATAATTTCCATATTTTTTTCCTAAATTTTGCTATCAATCAAATGCTACAATCCCCATTTGTTAAAAATATTTATTTAAATTAAATCTGAAATTAAAAACAAATTTAAATATTATTTTGCACCATTCAAATCAACAAATTTAACTTAACAATTTAATACATACGATTAGAAGCTTTGCATTGACGAAGAGCTTCATTGAAACCTTCGCATAGTGTAAGATCTGACTGGTTCTGAGCACAGTCTAAGAATTGTTTAACCTCCCATGCACAAGCACCACCAGCAGGTGCAGCTGGAGCAGGTTGTGCTACTGGGGCTGCAGCAGGTGCAGCGGCTGTTTCAGAACCTCCACTGAAGAGTCCAGTTACAGCATGTCCAATGGTGTGACCAACAGCTGAACCAATGGCTACACCTCCTGCAGTAGCAGCCATTTGTCCCATGAGGGATGGCTGTTGAGGTTGGGCCATCATGGGTGTAGCTGCTGGAGCAGGTGCTGGAGGATGAGAAATTGGCCTGGCTGGAGCCGACCTAGCCCTAAACAGAAAAACATGAACATTGAACACGTTTGCAAATGGACCAAAATAACGCGTAATTTCGTTAAAACAACGTTGTATGATTTGACAATTGTTAGTAGTGTACAGAAAATTGTGTACGAATTAAAAAAAAAAATACTTACGATCTTGAAGGTGCAGATCGTCGAGGCATGTTTTATGATTATGCACAATAAATTTCGTGTGTAACTTGTACGTTCGTTCGCTCAAGAGATTCTTGTGACACTACGACGAAATCTTTACCTCTAATCTCTCATATATACACGTTACGCAACACGATCGAACTGCGCAAACTCTGAGAGAATCCACGAACCTTCCAGAAATAAGACAGGAAATAAATTGTCTTGAGCACGAAGGGACGCACTTCAGATTGTATCGAAATTAATAAACATTTAATAAACTAAGCATTGTTGACAGGTCAGGTATCGACAAACTTTATTTCATAATTTCTTTATACATTATTATTACAATTATTAAAACGATTTGTATATTACGCTATACCTTCAATGAGAAACCCTACGAATCATACGATCAATTTTCATCATTTCAAATAACAGTACTACATAACGTATGACTTTTCTGACGCTGAATTCATATACAACTTTACGGATTTCCGATCTTCTCTGTTTCTACATAACCAAATTTTCCAATATTTTGTCCACCATGTAAGTATGTGATCGCTGAAATAAAAAGTGTACGAATCAACAAATAATAAACAACCCATTAATGTTAGAATAATATCAATTAATTTCATATGACGCAATTATGCAAATCATGATGCTACAATGTTATTATATACACATGTATCTATATGTAATACATTGTTATTAAGTAGACAAGCATTCGTAGAATTCGGGTATATTTTTATTTCTGCATATGTTACAAATGCATGATGCATCGTTGCACGATTTTGTGCAAAACGATCCGTTTATAGTACATAAAATAGGCTTGTATATATAATCATGCATATTTAATATTAGAGATGAAGTACAAAGTACGGCACTTACATTGTTATTCATGCAATACAATCTAAGATGTCGACATCATCGACAATATCACTGTAATCTCTAGTCTCTTTCTTTTAAAATACTTTTTCAATATTTTGAAAGTCTCATCAGTAGCATTTTCAAAAATTATCCTTATACGCACTAGCGCCAGATGGCGCCAAGTGCGTCGATGGTGTCGTGTTAAAAAATGCGCGCGCATAAATATAAAATTTGAAAATCAAATGTGGTCAATAAATTAGAAAACATTTATATTTATAAGTGTTTAACAAAGTTGTATTAAACGTATAATTTATAAATACATAAATAAGGAAATTTGAAGAGATGAATTAAAATAACTATTTTATTTACAATTTTTTTACAAAGTTGTGGCGCGTACATGTTATTGCTGTACAAATTGTATTTAATTAATTATGAATATGACTTAACAAGAAAGATCATATCCCTTTAAAATGCTCAGTCAATAGTACGAATAAAATTGGATCATGTCAAATAATTGAAAATCCAATTACTTATTTTATATAAAAAATATATATATATATATTTCTCTGTAGAAAAAAAATATTGCACAAAATAAGATTCCTACACAGCTAATGATAGTCTATGTATAAATCGAGTGTGGTGAATGTATAATGTAACTTAAAAAGATAAAATATTAATACATATAAAAATTATTTGATAAAAATGATATCTTTGATCCACTTTTTATACTTATTCTTGATATTATATCTTTTATAATAAATTAACTATTTTCTTTCAGTTTTTCAATCCGTTGTCTCAGTCTTCTCAGAACTTTTATATCAGAAACTGATATTTCTGTCTTTTCAAAAAATAGTAACAAACAATCTGCAGCCTCCAGTGCCTTGGTTGGGTCGATTTCAGCGTCCGCAAAGTCATTGGTTTCCGGTTCTGTTATGAATAAAATAATGTATTTATCAGCAATATTATGTATAAGCAGAATCTGCTTGTAATTGATAATTGAAATTCAGCAATTACACCTAACTTAAACCTTTTACAACAGACTCCTAAATTTATATTATAGCGCATACCAATTTTTACATTGTCGGTGCATTGTACTGCTTGAACGATATCTTCATCGGTTATGTTATCTGTATCAACTTTGATCCATTTGTTAACCTCTTCCAACGTTATGTTCTCAAACTGTGGAATATTTTTAGACGCTTCATGGATGTATTCAGGTGTAATTATCTCTGATTGGTCGATGGGCTCGACAGGAAGATTCAGCAAATCTTTCCAACAAGTACAAATTGTTTTTGGCATTACTTCTTCCCAAGCGTCGCTAACGAAGTTAATGGCATGCTTTACATTGAACCCTTTCATTGCTTCGTTATAACTTTGCCCGATGCCTTGAACGTTCATTATAAACGTTAACAGTTTTGACCTGTATCTGTTCTTTATTTCCTCGATAACACCCTGGTCCATAGGCTGGATCAATTTCGTGATGTTTGTTGGTAAAAATACTGCTCTTATTCCTCCTACAGTTAAGACACTAGCTGATAAATGTAGCTTGATATTATCCAGTAATAAAATGGCCTTCTCGGGTAACCCTCTAGATCTTAAAAATGCAAGAACGTGTGGAACAAAGTCGTCCTTAAACCAGGTCTCAAAAATTTTCGCGCTTAACATGGCATTTGGATGGCTAGCATATTTTACTGGTAAAAGATGTGGCGCTAAATTTTTGATCGATCGTGGCTTTTCGAACCGCCCGACTATCAATAACGGAATTTTCTTTAATCCTGTGGCATTGGCGCATGCCATTACCGTCAATCGGTCTTTAATTTTTTTATAGCCTGGCATTGAATGCTCGGTTGTATGAACTAATATCTCGTTTGGCATCATTTTGTAATATAGATCCGTCTCGGATGCGTTAAATACTTGGCATGGTGTTAAATTTTCATCTTCCATTAATTTTAATAAAGTGCTTTTGAAATCTGTAACCAGTTCGGTGTCCATAAAAGTTCCTAACTGGTCATCCGAAGATATTGCTTGCACCGCACTCCTCTTTTTCCACGTACGGAACCAACCGTCGCTGGCCTTAAATGATTCCATGCCTCCGAATCTTTTGAAAAATTCGTGTGCTTTTGCTAGAAAAATAATTTCATGTAAGTATAAAGAATTACGCTTTACGAAAATAAATGGTAATTATTTAAAATAGGATACTGAATGATTTCTTTAAAATGTGGAAAAATGAGGCCACCGGGTATATACGAATCGACGTGACGAATGTTACAAGACGCTTGCGCGTCACTTTTCGTTACGAAGGGTTCTTTAACCAATGGGAACTACCATACGCAAAATCTCGTCTCATACGTACAGACCTCTGTACTAAATAATACCTATCGAATCGCTGGCTATTAGAGTCTAAAGTGATTGAAATTATTTTTTTATTTATTATCAAAATTAAACTCAAACCTAACCGCCATTACATATCAAATGCATGGTGTTAAAAGTACTTTTGCGTACTCGAACACTAAGGCCGGTTATATGTATAGGAAAAAAATATTCAGTTGACATTTTTTAAGGTCATCAAAATCGGTGAGCTGTACCCTATTTTGAATAAATTCCAAAGTAAAATTTAAAAAAAATATTCGAAGCTAAATTTTACACAAATTATATAAAACATAATTTCATATTTTGCCATTTTACTTTGGATTAATCCATTTCCGCGTTACTTTAAACATTATGACTGTACCTTTGACATCCGTAACACTGACTGTTCTGTTTAATTTTTTTTCTCGGTGGAACCATATTGTTAACGCTTCATTCACCTTCTCTACGGGGGATAGACGCACCCGTTTCGACTCAGCAGATAAGCTACTATACTTTTCTAGCTTTTCCCTTTCACGTATCCATTTCCGGATCGTACTCTCGTCGACCTTGTATCGTATCGCTAAGTAATTCGTTGATGCACCAGCATCTTTTAATTTCAATACCTCTAATTTCTGCTGAAGCGTTAACGAAGAATACGATTTCCGGTTCGTTTGAATGGCATTGCTCGTACTCAGTTGCATCGTACTGCTTGTGTTCTGTTGGTTTACATTGCTTGTACTCGGTTGATTTACATTGTTCGTACTTGGTTGATCTGCACTGATTATACAAGGTTGATATAAATCCATTTTCGCCTGCTCGATGATCTTTTCTCTCCAATGCTTCGAAACTAACTAACCTAGACGCTCGATAGTTCCCTACGGTGGGGGCTGTAGTGGCGAGCCCTCTTTTAGAGAAACAGGGAATTATCGAGTGTTAGTGACTGCATGCTTTTATGGTCATGCATACATACAGATCCCAAAACTCTCGTAGTAGGGGTAATCGTGTTGTGACTGAGGCTATTGATCCGGGTACCCGTAAAATACCTGAATCTATAAGATGGTCGAAAATTTTCATTTCGATTCTACAAGTATTCAAGTATCTCACGGATACCCCATGCAGCCAGATAATTTTACCCGGACATTTCACAAGTAACTAGCTATCTCACGATTACTCGAGTACCCGAGTATTCCACAAGTTGGCAGCTCTAATAGTAACACGGTGTGTTTTGCTACGTCTATGGTTTTGCTTATAGAGCTTATACTATTGAAGAACACTGAAAAGACTGGAGAGTCTCTGGCCATCAGCAGAGTGTTAGAAAAACGCGTGAGAAGGTTGAAGAGAGAGGTAGATATTTTCTGTCTTAGGTGTTGATCCCCACTCCGTAGATATTTTAATTATGGGTAGGTGCAGAAGTAGACAAGTGCTAGGCAGGGAGGGGATATAACATACATCAATGTTCGTTTATTTTAGATGAGGAGCCGATAAATATATCTCAACACTTAAGATAGCAAAATATGTGTCTTTCTTTGAGAGGAACTACCTTCATTATCATTTTGTTCTCCTGTTACTAATGAAAATCTGGTCGGCAGTAATATGCACACAGTGGTTTTCGCTGAAAATAAGTGATAAAAAGGAGCAAAAGAAAATTTGGAATATTTTGTATGGTATTTTATTTTTCATTCATGTTACATTTTAATTCTAAGGTATATCATTGGATTTAGATTTATTAAGATTGTCTTTGTACTCTATTTTTGATGCTGATGGATGGTCCTTTCTGTAAGCAAAATAAGGTACTTTTTTAATTACTAATATTTTTGTTACTATTTTAATTATCTTACACTTCAATAGGTGAATCAGTTAGCTTCTCTTTTAAACTATCCATCAACTTCTGTTTTATTTCATTTCCTTTCATAGTTTCTTTCGTGATCAAATGATGTATTAAGTGGGTATTTAATTGATTGGTAACTTTTTCAGTAGAATTTTTTATGGATTCAAATATGTTCTCGTTTCCTTCGTTTCTAGATGTACCAATACCACTGACTTTTGCTGTGCTTAGTTCTAATGTTTTTGTAACTGTAAAAGATTAATTATCATATTAAAAAAAAAGTTGCACTGTTAATATTATTCACTAGGCAACATATTTTTTATCATACCATCTTTATTCATTTCAGTTGGAGAAACATTCTCTAAGTTGTACAGCGGATTCAAATCCCTTAATTTAATTCCAGGTTCTTCTAATATTGGATCTGGTAATCTTTCTGTGTTGTTCAATACATCAGATATATTCTCATGTTCTCGCCATTCATTGATTACAACAAAAGGTCTCTCAGACCTTGCTGCTGTTAAATTACTTTCCAGATTCTCATTCTGTAATGTTGCTTCAATCATAGATCTGTGAGTTAATCCGTTATAAACATTCGAGACATAGCAAAATGATGATTGCAGCCAACCATTTCTAGACAAGACACATATTTCATTAGAACATTAATTCTTCTTTTACTGATCGTAATAAAGTGACACTTACAAACACCTGAGGTGTAACAGTCCAAAAATAAAGAATATTGTAGCGGCTAGAGCCACTAAATAAATAAACATTTTTAATTGTAAGCTGTATGATGCTTTAATGAATCATTTTGTCAATTGACAACAGCTCCTGACAAAGGACAGTCAACTCAGCCTCCTAGGATTTATTGTAATAGTTCAAACAAAAGCTATTTGTACTGTAGGGTAAACTTGATAAATTGAAAATTATGTACAGTTTTTTATAAAATGAATTTCTATTTCATTGCTTAAAGAATAGTGGACAAACTTCAATAATTATTAAATCAATTTACTTGCTCATGATCAAATTATAGGACATTTTGCTTATCAAAACATTCAGTTGAAATTCATCTAAAGATCTATAACATTTATTGATTGTATACAATATTCACAAGTGAATTAACTCTTTTGAAATAGAATATGTCATAATATATCATTCTTACTTTTTCTTCTCTTTTTTCATCTCTTTTCATATGACTAGGCATACTAGAAGATATGGTGTTGCATTATTTCGTTTCTTAAATTTTATAAAATCCATTGTTAAGCAAATTACATAATTTCTTTGTATCATTCACTTGATAAGAAGATTAAAGAATTCAATATGTTTCCAATGGTATTGAAAAATAACAATCGTTTATACACTATAATGAACATTATGTTTCAGAACTGAATACTTTTAAAATTAGTTTCTATCTTGTACAACAATTGTATATTATTTTGTACAGTCTTAGTTTCTATATTTTCTTTTATATTGTACGAAATGTACCTTTATTGCAGTATGTAAAACTATTTGCAACTTATTTATATTATTTGTTTTAAATAACCATTCAGTTACATTTTATTCAGCAAATACGTTTGTATCTGATGCTTGATATTGGTGTACAATAAAAATGTAGTTTTTTTTATTAAAGACTTCAATTACATAATTTAACATTAATCACGCTAAAAATACTACTCATAGTTTAATAAAACATTGATAACTCGTACAGTTTTATTTTGAAACATGTTTATTTAAATATTGAATGGTAACAAAAGAGACAGCAATACCCAACATCAGATATAAGCTGGCATTAAATGTTTGATCATTTTTATGTATGTACAGAAGAGTATCCAAAGGAAAATAAACAAGTATCAAAACTAGATCACAAAACGTGTATACAAAAGTTTACATTTAATGATTAACAAATCTGATGCATTGCACAGATTGTTGTATTCGCTTTATCAAACGATTTATATATGCATATGTATATATGTATGTATACATGTGTGTATATGTATAATATGTATAAATGCTATGGATTGCTCTTCAATAATTTATATTATTCTATAAAAGAGCAATACAAATTCGTAGGTGACGTTTTTCCGTTTGTTCGGTTTTCTTTTTTGTACAGAAAAAACGTAACATCGAAAGAAGTACATATTAATTTACGAACGTTTTAAACAAACGCTTGAAAAATGATAAATACTTAATTTCCAGTAGCCCAACATTTATAAACCAATAATAACGTATAAATTAAACGTTTTCCTTACAACCCATATATAAAGCAACAAAATCTTTACTTGAACTTACAATAATAAGCACTTAATTTTAAAAAGTTAAACTTTAAAATATGTAAGATTATGTTTAGTCTAGTCTTCGATTCCAGAAGACATCTATGAAGAAAGAAAAGAATAGTCACCGTCGTGTTCACACTCATAAAATTATCATATACAAAAAAATCTGATATTCTAAGATGAACTATTATCGCTTAACTCCTTTCTCTCTTTCCTCATACAAAAATTTCCATCGAGTACAATTTCATTTAACCGAATGATCTATTATGAATTCGCTCTTTCATTGTATCTAATATGATTTTTAATAAGACTGACCAGAATTGTAAGGACGGCAAAATGCAAAAGAAACACACACTTGTCAGAAATTGTTTCATTAGTTACATTTAAAGTACAGATTTGAAACATTACAATAAAGTGATTTTGACTTTCAGAAAATTATCAAGTGCAAATACTATAAATCTGTGCTTTAATTATAACATATAACATTTTTTGCTTCTTCAGCTTTGTAAAGTACTTACATCTTTTAGTCAGCTTATTAAAAGATTTTTTTAAGCTAAAATGTATTAAGACAAGTGTAATAAATGTTTGGTGTACAGCTTTTCTGATGACGTATTATATAAGTTTCTTTTCAGTTTCTACAATGAAATCTGCCCTTTTATATTATTCAATGTATATTTCAGTGAACGTGTTGTATTTCGTGACACACGATAAATATACTTGTAGCTGAAACGATCCTTTTCGTGCAGTATAATTAGACGGTTTCCGATTTCTTTTTCTCCAATGTATTTCATAGACCCGTTGCATAACTGCACTCTCGTCATCGAGCTACGCTTCACATAAAATACTCGAATGTATCAAATATATATATATTTATGTATATATATATATATTTATTATCTTTTGATAAATGTCTCTTACGGCAGTATCATTTTTCCATGGAATGATACTTAAACACAAAGAATGCAGTATTGAAATGTCATTAGAGGTTAATCATCTAAATCATTAACATGAAGAACTTCTCTATGAGTTAATCCAGCATCTGATAATGTTAAGACTTCTCTACATGGATATAAAATTCTTTTCGGAAAACTTGTTGTTATTTCGAAACTCACTGGAGAATCTGGTTGACTAAATATCCAATGATAAACATCCTAAAAAAAGAAGAAAAGAAATAATTATATAATTAAGATTGAATAAACATCATATATAATTAACATACTTCTATTGTGTCAGACATTAAGAAACGCCTTTTCATCGTTCTCTCTCCGAGTTTAATTTGAAGATGACATGCATTAGAATGTGTAGGCTCTGGTTCAAGAGGTACTTTGTGTACAGTAAGTTCTTTCTCACGACGAATACGTTGAATTTCCAATTCTTGTGCATTTAATTGTTCCTTTTCTCTAGCTTCTTGTTCTTCTCGCGCTTTTCGTTCTTCTTCTCTTCTACGATCTTTCTCTTGATCTGCACGTAATGATTCTTCATAGGCTTGATCTTGTTGTTGGCGTAAAGATTGTGCGGCACTACGTTCCGCTCTATAATAAAACATATAACAATTAACACGAAATTTTTATTTAGAAACCTTGGCGTTCTCTTACCTTTCTTGGCGGGCTTGTATTAAATTAATTTCATTGTGCTCTACGATTGTTTGCAAACGAGATATCAAATCAGAAGGAGACGGTGTGCCTTCCATCCTATAGTATAAATAAATATAATTTTTTATTATACGAATTCACTTCATTGTTAGAATTAAATGAAATAAAATACATAGGTTTATATACCGGCCAACAATTGTCATTCTGTTGTCCTTTAGAACGATAATAGCCAGGAAAGGATAAGAACCAGATTTAAGAGCTTCTGCCACTTTGTAACCTTCACCTGATTGTACATTACATGCCCAAAACAATGTATGTACATTTATGTACCGAACAACTTCTAGATTACCTAATGTATTCCTGTGAATAAAGATACAGCTGCATTTATTTATTCATGTAAGGATTGTATTGCACATATGGAAACATAGCAAAATTACCTGCACCACTGATCGATATTCTGAGCTTCATCTTTATGCAAGTATACCAATAAAAATCTTAATTCTTGCTTTGCATCTGAAAGAGCTTGACTATAAGAACCTTGATAGAAAACAGGATGACTATTACCATAACGTTCTTCATAGGATCGAATGAAGTTAATTACATCTTCCACTGGATCAGCTGATACTGTAAAGATAATTAATACATTAACACATTTAATAAAATTGTTTCATACAACTGATCATAAGAACAATAAAGCTTTACCAGGTCTAACATTTCTCCTAAATATGGATAGAAGTAATTGTAGGATGCGGATCACTCTTTCATAACATAACGAAAAGATATACCACAGGTAACTACCACTGCCGCTAGAACTACCAGAATAATGAAAATATATTCTAGAATTGCTGTCATCAACAACTTGTGGTGGCCTTGACCTCGAATCCTGTGCATACATTGATGGTCTTCCTTCGTAGAGATTTAGTTGTTCCTAAATCAAAAAATGTAAAATTTCTTATCAAATACAAGTCATGTAGTTTAATTTTTACAAATAATGAAATAAGCAATGGGGCATTCATATACAATATGACAACCATGAGTATACATTTTGCAGACATTACATAAACAAAGAAAATAATATATATTGGTCTTCAAGGATTTTTAAGATATTCCTAACACATTCTTGATACTAAGGTTGCACAATCGATCTACATACGTTAAAGATCTTTCCAAAACAAATATGTGCATAATAATCAACTGTGTATGTAATGTAAAGAAAAGAAAGTCTACCTGTACGGCTACTTCTAAATTCCAGTTATGCCTTTGCAAAACATCTCTACAGATTGATAGGTCTTCGATACCCGTTAAATCCTAAAATGATTACAATGACATTATGATTTGAATACACAACATGAAATGTGATATTAAGTTATAACAATGATTCACCTGAAACTGAAGGATTTTTTCAGTCTGATCACTGCTAAATTCATTTAACGCGAAATCTGCCATATCAACGTATTCTGTCAATAAAAGACTAGATAAATCTTCGATGATCGTTTAGTCACTCGATTCTATAAAATAATTCTGAGTTCATCAGCTGATACAAAATCCTGGCACTCGAACAAAATTACGATCAAGCTGCACAAGCATTTGGAGCGTGATATCGAGAATGATTAACCTCAAGCGTTCGCAGTCTCTGGTTTATGGACCTCGATTCATTATCATCACGACACGTTTTGTCTCGTTACTCTGTTCTATACTTAATGTTTTCGATGTCATGACTTCTTACAATAATTTACAATTTCAAGGTTCTATTTCATGCGGTACGATTTTAAGTGACGTCAGCTGCATGCATTGGCGAAACGATAGTCAACAGTATTTCCGTATTGCGATTGGTAGAACCGTTATTTTTGCTAGAAACTAATAATATTTATTAGTAGACAATTTCTTTGAAAAATGAACAACGAATAATTATATAAATTATGTATAAATTTTCATTGATCGCAGTTTGGAATTTGGGAAATCTATTTGTGCAAGTTTAAGTCTCAACAATCACCAATGAAAAAATAGTACTCAATCCTTCTATACTCTTGATGAACAGGATATGTTTAGACTAAATGAATAAAAAGTAGAGCAAAAACATTTCTTTGTACTCGTTTAGGAAAAACGATTGTCGAATAAAGTGTTAGATTCATTTGAATCTGGGCAATTGGAATTTAAACCAAAAATCGCGTTGAATCGAATCGTATCGAATTGAATGTGTCGATTAAATGAATGAGTTCCTATCATTAAAATATTCGTTCACGTTGATTACTTAATTTATTACGGAATTGTTAAACGACAGAACGATCGTTTATTTTTAAATTTGACCGAATTTTATTAAGGTAGGGAATGGCGGTACGGGCATTCGTTCGCTTATTCTACACGCACCCTTAAGAACTGTAACAAATGATTATGCTGCATCACATGTCATTTGCTACTTGATTGTTTAGAATTTATATCGTACACCTGTTGCGTTAAATAATCCTCTATATCCAAATGAGTTCAAGATTAAATGAAACTAGTAATTCGAATGTTAAAATTGAAATTAAGAAAACATTGGTTTCTATCAATGAAACGGCGCGCAAAATGTAAGATAATTATAAATACAATTTATTGAATCATTACAGCATGAATGTTATTTTAAAATAATTATTAAATGAAACACATTTTTATTTTATTACTCAGAAAGAATGAATTGGACACAATTAATGGTCTTATTGGAAAAAATGGACAATTTCACACAGCTGTTACTAATGCAAATGAAACATTGATCACAGCAGCCCAAAACATGAACATAAATCTTGAAAGTATCCTAAACAATAATCAGGTAACTGATGAAACAGCATCTGATTTAAGAAATGTTCTATCCGCGTCTGCTTTCCAAGAGAAGATATTAAAATGTTTAAATAATATATAACTTTTCTTACTATTTTGTACTTTTATATTTATTTATGAAAAACAATATAATTTGATAAAAAAATAGAGAAAATTTATACATATTTTTTACATCTGTATCACTTTCTCCTATATTACATACAAACATTAATTTTTCTTTGGTACAGTAAATAAATTTAAAGCTTTGATTCTGTTAACCAACTAAACTTCTGTTCTTTGCGATTAGCTTGAGGATTGATCATAATGTTTATTAAACTTGGAGCATCGGTTATCTATAACAGAAATCATTTTGCCATTATAATTATTCTTACAATTATTAGCTGATGTTAGGTTTACCTTAAGGCATGCTTTAATCGCATGCTGAATGTCCTGCACAGTTGTGCAGAAATATCCTTTCCTCCCAAACATTTCTATCATCTTTTCATAATGGGTATCACATGATAGAATAGTTGATGGTGTTCTGAAAATTAATGTTCGTAAAGTCATTAATTTTCTTACTTACACTTGTACTTACAGTAAGAAACTTACACTTGTGTTGGTTCTCCTGAAGACTGTATTTGTCTAAATGTTTCGCTGTCTAATCCACCACCAATACCATTATTATTTACAATTATAATAATAACAGGCAGTTTGTATCTGAGAAATATTATTAATGATTACGAAAATTTATTATTGCTATATTAAGTTGGTTTCAATTACCTGTACATTGTCTCAATTTCCATGCCTGAAAATCCAAAGGCACTATCACCCTCAACACAAAATACTCTCTTTGTAGGAGCATAATTTTTACAATAAAGTGCAGCTGCTATGGCAAAACCTAGACCCACACCCATGGTACCAAAAGTAGCAGCATCTAATCTATGGCGGGGTTCATCATTCAACAAAATTGTTTTACCAATATCCATTGTATTAGCTCCTTCTGAACAAATGATGGAATCTGTAAACAAATAGTGTCTATTACTGTTTCCAGAAACAGCATTTCCTTAGCAACAGCATCTTTGATTAAATCATTTAACAGTATATAAAATAACTAACTAGGAGGAATCGTTTCTTGTATCTCTTTAAAAACAGCATAGTAATTTAAGGGTACCGAAACATCCAACGACATTCTCTGAAAACGAAGAAATTTACTAAATTATTTGTTCAACATTTATTCATAATAATTAAATAAGACCCTCACATGAACAAGTGCCTTATTTTTGCTCGATTTAGCAACAAGGTCTTTCCACCAAGGATTGCTTTTTTCAATCGCCCATTTACGTTCTTTCAAAATGCCAACAAGACAATCTACAGCTGTTGAGATATCTGACTGAATCGCCACTGCAGAAGGGACAGAATTATGCAATTCTTCTGGACACAAATCAATCTAAAATACAAATCAGTGACTCCTTATCAGTAATCACTTATCTCAACGAAATAAACAATACCTGTATCACTTTAACATCTGGTTGGAAACGAGGTGGCTGACCAAAGTGTAACATCCAATTCAGTCTGGCACCTAATAACACAATAACGTCGCTCTGCTGTAATGCATAAGTTCTTGCACTAGAAACGCATCGTTCATCTGTATCTGGAACAACGCCTTTTCCCATTGGCATTGGAAGGAACGGTATATTGGTTGAGTATACGAGATTGCGAACTTCATTTTCTGCTCTAGAGTAAGCAGCTCCTGTAACATAACTTCATGAATGTTTTCAAACTACAAAATCTCTTGAGCAGTAACATTGGTATAACTAAAATTTTTATTTGAAACAGGACTCTTTGGATTATGACCAACCTTTTCCTACAATTAACAATGGCTTTCTTGCTCGCATAAGCAGACTAGCTGCCTGTTGGACTAACTGACGATCGGGGAATATTAGAGGAGGTGGTGGACAAACTGCGACTTTGAGTATTTTTTCTTCATCGACCGATTGATTTAATATGGTGGCTGGAAAATCCAAGTAAGCAGCGCCTGCAAATATTTATAACATAGAGTTATGATACATTGTACTTGCATCGTGGTCATAAAATGTACCTACCAGGTCGGCCGTAAGTGGACAGTCGAACAGCCTTTTCTACGTGAAGCGGTATTAACACTGCAGATGGTGGCCTGGCGGCATATTTACAATAGGGTTTAGCGGCTTCTACCTGTGGCCATTCTTGAAAGCCTCCAATACCCTCATGATCCTGAGAGCAGGATCCACCAATTACTATGACTGGCCTACGTAAAAAATTATATTACATAAATTTAGCGTCGAATAATTTGTTTCTTAATATTAATTTCGATAACGAATCGCTGAGTTATCGCTTCACTATTTCTACTATGTTTTGTCCAGTGTTTCTTCACCTTCTGATTGATACATGATACGTTTATATAATCATTATCTAATGCTGTGTATTCTTTTTAATAATATGGCACAATGAATACGAACTAGTTACGCAATAGATCATAAGATAATCGTTTTCTTGTGATGCGAAATATGTGCACATCCTGTGAGTGCATTAACTGCAATCACTAACAATAATATTCATATGTGTTATATCAAGTTGCACATACACACATGTATTTTTACATTTTATGTATGGTACAAAAAAAAATTCTACATTGCTCACCAGCAATTCACTTGAGCGTTCGCCAAACCACCTATAACGTGTAGCATACCCGGCCCGGAGACGCATAAAACTATTGCCGGTTTTCCTAATTGGAGAAGAAGAACAATTAATATGAAGTCATCAAAATCGTGTTACAATACAAATTTTAATTTTGCTTTTCCAATGAAATTCTTAGCTTTGAAACAACGTTCACACGTTTATAATTGTAATTTAAATTCCTCCTCGCTTACTCGTTAGGTAGCCATAAGCTTGAGCGGCGTAGCATGCGGCCTGTTCATTCCTGAATCCAAGATATTGAATGCCTACTGCTTGCATGGTCAAGGACAATTCGATCACAGGATGTCCCACAATTCCAAAGACATATTCGATGCCCTGCAATACAAAAATGAACAAAATTAATTTTCTTATTGAATAAATAAAAGTTAAATTTTAATGCAATACAATAATTAATAGATTTGTTATGGGTTGAAGATTATAAATCTACTTTGCATTGTATTATTAGTAGCAGTGCAGAGTTGTAAGAGTGCAAAGTTTAAATAATGCATAAAAAAATCTCTTTCTATTTAATTAAAGTTCATTTACATTTTAAGTATGTTATACGAATATATTTAAATGTTAATTAAAATTGTAATACGAATATATTTAAAAGTATTATCGCAATATTATGATTCGTGTAGCTAAAAGCGATAAATTCATTGTCAGTTAAATGGAAAAAAACTGGAAGTACAATGTTTATTCCAGTAATACTACATAATTTTTTTGCCGCTTAATAACAATAAATAAATGTCTTATCACGATTAATAAATCGTTTGGATTCAAGAAGCATCGGACTCGAGGATTGGACTCGCAAGTTTCTTGAATCAGTGCACTATTAGTGCACTCGAGATTAAGAAACTAACAACGTTGCGGTGAAAATACGAATATATTTTTTGTGTTAAAAAGAAGAATTTTTTATGACAATTACATAGATTAAAAAAGTGATTTGTACTGAATCGCAGAAAAGATTAAAACGGAAACAGGATGTACCGCTGCGAGGAGGAACGAATTCCGCTTCTATCCCGAGTAACGAAAAGTAAGTATTATTTTTTAGCATTTTTTTTCCAGAAAGTGCCTAAGAAGTGTTATAAATATTTTTAGTTTGGTATTTTAGTTTTTTAGTATAATATTTTTTTGTTGTTGTTTATGCACGCTACTCTTGCCAATTGATTTCGTTTTGCTTAGCTTATAGGCAGTTATCTTTCTTGCGGCGATAGTCGTGTTATCACTCTGTATCGACATAAAAAAATTTATGGAATTTTTTAAAATCCACATAACGTTCTAATACTTTATATTACATTTAATTTATAATAATGCTCACCAAAACAAATCTGTAAAAAGAAACATTTCTTTTAAACAAATAAACATTGTTATCGCATTTTCGTTGACTAAAATATCAAGGAACTAACGAATGTGAATACAAAAATATCATAAATAAGTAATGAAGAAAATAAAAAAATTTTATTCGACACATGACAAATGTTTAAATAATAAAAAGATATAAGTAAATTTGTACGTTACATAACCTCTAAATGACATCACTGCTTCATTTAAAAAAAAAACAAAAGAAAAAGAAAACAGTAGCAAGTGTTATACCTGAGCTTTCAAAGCCTCAGCAGTTATTTGATTTCCGCTCTTCATGTTTGAATCAATTTTGTTCACTGTAGACGAAATGTTGCTGCTCTTGACAGCTCTAAGGAACTAATCCGGTTAACAGCGATTTCTTGATATATGTATGTTCTTTAAACGCAACGTCGTTGAACTTTGGATCCAGTGACAACAATATTGCGATTTCATTCGGTCTTCAGCAATTTATTTTTTTCTGCATGAAAATTCAGTTAATATTTAAATTCTTATCATTCCATAGAAGTACCTGCAAAAGTTGTATAGTTTTAATAAGCTCTCTTTAAATGAAGATCTGTAGTATTTATTTAAAGAATCTGTCTAAATTTTATTAATAACTATGCAATATATTTTAAAGGGCCAAAAGATGCTTCAGAAGTAAATAATTTAAGGTCGACATTCAAGGTCGTCAATTTTTCTGTAAGAAGATATTAAAAACATAGAATCTGGTGTGAATATAGTAAATACAAAAAGTACATTTTACCTTACTCGAAGGTACCATAAAGTTTAGCCAGGTCACTTTTAGCCCAGCTCTTTCAGTAAAACCGTATACCTGCAAAATGTCTTGTTGCAAAAAAGGATAACGGAGCTTTGAATTATGACTTACCTTACAGAGGTAAGGATGTTAACGCAGTGTGAAGCTATTATCCTGCCGATTTGAAAACTTGTTTTTATCCTTCATTTTCCAACTGTCTCCCTTCCAAAATTAGCTCCCGCGCCTGCAGCCGCACGTGTCGAACCGTGTTCGCGTTTCACAGGCGTTTCCCGCAACAACCCGTGAAATCATCGCTGCAATAATTTACTGGTTATATGCAATTTTACACATTAAATTAAATGCGAACCAATTATGTAATCTGTTACACTTGATACGTTGCAGGATGCATTTTATTATTAATGATGTTGATTGTCAGGTTATGCTCTTCCATCACTTGTAACTCTAGAACAATAAAATTAGTTAACATGACAACAGTTTCGAATTCATTTTAACCTATTTCTTGTCACAAATTATTTTTGAATGTATAGCTATGCAATTAAAATACAATTTTTAAATCTATTCTTTATAAGTTAACAATTTTTTATGCGTTTCAAAACATTGAAACGAGGAATATGTCGCTTATCGTACTTAAAGATAAGCTTAACTAAAATCGTTAAGCGACGAATGTTCTAGAGTAAATTACATATTCAGAAAGCGACAAGTACTTTTCCTGCAAATTGGTCATTTGCCTCAACGGTGACCTTAGCCGAAGTTGAAAGTACGTTCAGGTAGTTGGACATTGAAAATACGGTTCAACTTATATTGCAGCCTAAGAAATATGTTTATTGTAGAAGGGTCCGAATGGCCCAAACGGATAAGACGACCTAACGGTTAAAAGTACATAATTATTTTTCGTTGGATTGAACTATCCGTGCAATTTAGAGAAAGTTGTTATACCTGAGGCATTTGACAGCGCGTTTTACAACATTGAAGCTTTTATAAATATTCGAAATATTATTTTAAATTGCAATTTTTTTTCGATATTACATGCTGCTCATCCAAGCGATCAGAACCTTCCACGTGAAATTATATAATGCTCGTCTCGAATATCTCGTTTATTTTGTTGGATCTGTAAACATAAATTGAGAATTAATAACTTGTATTTATAATTGACAATATTATACTGTATTTTATTAATATAATATATATATAAAATTCTATAGGGTCTTATCGTCCCTAAATTAAATTTAAGAATTTAACTTAAATTCTAAATTTATTAAATATAATTGAGACAGTATATATTTTATTAATTCACTCAGTCTAGCCTTCAATAAAAAGACAATTGATTATGCTACCTTAGTACAGTTAAAATACTGCAGCCATTTAATATATTATCATAGAGCATAACTGACTTTAAATTATAATCTAAAAGACATGTTTTTGTTAAACAGATGAATATAAAATTTGCTGAATTCCTTAATTATACTTTTATAATAAAATATTTATATAAACAATAAAGTACATTACTGCACTGTAATGTAGTATAATGGAATATTGTAATATTCTGTTTAGACTTTTCACTATCCAAATAAACATCTCTCATAACAATCCCTCTGTCCATTCTCTTCTATCATGTTTTTCCACCGAAAATACATCTTTGAAAGCTGGTCATTTCCGTTATCTAAAACAATAATAATTATTCAGTGACTAATACTATCCCATTTGAAGTAAAATTAACATCGTTTACATCGATCGTGCTTTGCAGGACAGAAGCTCCTATAACTTCCTGTTTCAATTAACATTACCATTGTCACTCGAGGAAGCGTTATCAGGTGACTGCATACTCAAACGAAAGTTTACCTCCGTACATCAAAGATAATGAAAGCTTTGCATAACAGATCGAATGCTGTCAATTCGAATCGGTGGTTAAACGATATACTTCAATGAAATTCGAGTCGAAGTTAAAAAACATTGTCTTAATTACAACTCGCTCACAGGTGAAAAACAATCGGTAATTCCCCGAATACTTCATCGAGGAGGAATTTACAAAAATTTCATGAGGAAATTTCGCGACCAATTCGTCGCATAAACCCGTAGACGGATTTACGTAACGACAAATTGTTGAAAATTAAGGAAGTGATTCTGCGATGTCAAATCACGGAACATGATCACAGTAGAGTATAGTTTTTCACATTTGCGGATCGCTCGACTTGTACGCGTTTGTAAACGCTTAATCATGACATAATTTGCTACGTGATTCTACATAGTAATATTCTAACGCGTGGGTATAAATCCTAGCGAGACGTCTCTATGGATAACGCACCGATGGACGTCTTTATACAAAACTATGATAGATATAGTATATCTATGAATATAATACAGAGATGTACGGAGATATACAGAGTTGTAATTAATTTTAAATTCAAACTGAGATCTCTGACAACAGAAGTGAAATTAATTTTTGCAAAACGTGTTCATGCAAGTCCATGGCTGTAGAATTCCAATATTCCAAAATCATGGAAAGGCAGCAGGGGTGGCCCGGTCCCTAAACTTTCGGTGTCCTTTCTTCTTATCCCGAGGAAGGGATGTACCTGGTTTCCCCACTTACTCTCACCTGCCGACTACTTAAATAGCCAAGCTGCCCAACGGATGTCATTAGTCACTCCTTGAACAGATTCGGTTTTGTGTCGCGTCCGTCGATAGTTCAGTTTTCCCGGAAAATGTCCTGAAGGCGATTTGGTGCGTGGTCCTCCAGTTTCTGAAAGATGTACAAACATTATTACAAAAAGTTTTTTCCACGTGAGTGAAACAAGTTAATTTACACTTTCTTTTTTTTCTATGAATAAACAATAACTATTGTGAAATAATTATAATTATAATAATTATAAAATAGTTATAATAATTAATAGTGAAATATACTTGTTTTTTTTTTTTTACAAAATTTCAAATTTGAAGTCTAAAGTTTGCATAACTGTTCAAATTTCTCTATCATAGTTTAAAATCTTGCCGGCATAGTTTTCGACTGACAGCCGTTATTTAACCTTGTTACATGCTGATCACACTTAGCTAATATTCTTTCCAAAGAATCGTTAATGTCAACGCTATCCTACTGAACCAAATTCAAATAGCTTTCTGTAAACTTTATAGAGATTGGAATGTATTGCATCATCTAGTTGCACATATTTTTTCGAATGATATTTCCAGTTCCCTTCTAAATTCGATTTGTAGATCGGTCTGTTGGTAAACGGTTTTATCGGTAAACGGAAGTTTGCTCGGTAATCAAGGTAACAACGATATTTGTAAATAATCACAGACAGGACAAAAATAGTTTGTAAATACAGTGTGAAATGCTTGGAAAGTGGTCGAGAACTTTCTTTCAAAGACAAACTATGCCCGTGCTCGTTAGGAGTAACGAACGTTGGAAGAAAGTTAAAAATTGTGCAAGAGAGTGATCGCTCAAGGGAATCTATTTCCACAAATATTTTATCCTATGTATTCTTATAACATTTTTAAATTTCGCGTATTTAAATAAATTCTGTAGTTGAATATTTACAATTAGTTCATTCTTGTCAGTCGGTTAGAGATCAATTGCATTAAGATGCTGCTATAGTAAGCAATCGGCAAACATTAAGCAATCATAGTTGGCATGGTAACCTGTCACATATTCATAATTTATTCGACACAATCCGGTTCAAGATCGTTATATTTTTGAATCCTTAATATTTATGTTCCGATCAGTTCAGGAAAGTACTGCCGGGTTATTTGGTAGCCCGGACTCCGTAGTATGGAGATCCTTAAGTAAGTCATAAACAGAATCGTGCATTATTCGAATCTCTTCAAGCTTAAAATTTCTTCAACCTCTTCTTCAAATTTTTTAGTCGAAGATTTCCGAACAGAGATAGAACTTCAGAAATTCTAAATCTTCATGAGTTTAAAATTAATGTAAATTATTTTTAATTCTTTTCAGAATGGATCCCGACACGGGTGATAATCTGCGTGATGATGTTCACGGCCTGCTGGACGAACTACATGTGCCGTCTGCAGATGCCCATTCTGGCGGTGCCCATGATCAAAGCTCTGCCCGGAAACTTCACCGGAGGTGCCTGCCAAGATGAATCCCGAGCCCGGCGCGCGATCTCCTGGCTGGACCCAGGAGCTTATCTGGAAGATTACATTTTATCAGAGCGACTCGAAGCGGCTCAAGACTCCGAGGCCAAGATACGTTTACCTAGGGCCGCTGACGGCTCCATGCGATTATTCAGTGGTGAACCTTTCGATTGGGTTCCCTCCATCCGTGGCCAGCTGATAGCCGCCTACAGCTATGGAAACGTTCCCGGAAACTTCCTGGGTGGCTTGATGGCTCTGCGATGGGGTCCGAAGAAAGCGATACTCTGGACTTCTATAGTAGCTGCTGCAGTCTCGCTGATAAGTCCTATCTTAGCCAATCTGCACTGGGCGGTTCTGCTGGTCTCCAGGATAATCATCGGTGTTACTGGCGGAGTGACGTTCCCAGCTTGTCACACTTTGGTTGCTAAGTGGTCTCCACCGGACGAGAGGGCTCGTTTCGTTTGGTCCCTTCTCGGTGGTACTTTTGGCACCGTCTTCACCTATCCTATGGTCGCTGGTATCGCTCAGACGATCAACTGGGAGAGCGGATGGTACATTCCTGCCTTGCTGATGGTCATATGGATCTTGTTCTGGGCTGTGCTCACGTATGACTCGCCAGCGGAGCATCCTGGTATCTCTGATGAAGAGAAGAATTACATCATTCAGTAAGTACTTTGAAATAATTTGATTGAGATGCTTGAAAAAGTATGACTATACTTGCCTGGTGAACCAGCTCAACTAATGGTGTAGTTGATTTTTCCTTATGTTAAAAAGAATATTTTCATGAATGTTTAAGGGCACAAGCCGGCACAATAAGGACAGAGAAGCCGTCGCTGGCAGAGACACCCATCAAGGAGATCCTCACATCAATTCCAGTCATCAGTCTGATCTTCTGTCACTTCGGCAACATGTTCCTCCTGTTCTTCTACCAAAACTCGATGATGATATACCTCACGAACGCTCTAGGGTTCCACTTGGCAAAAGGAGGCTTGGCGGCTGGACTGCCTTGGGCTGGCAGGATGATCTTTGGATTCTTCTTCAGCTGGGCTGGTGATACTATCAAAAAAAAGGAGCTAGTCTCCGTGACCGTACTTCGTAAAGGCGCTACTGTATTTTGTAAGTACTTGAAGATCAATTGCTTCGTTTAATTCTAACTATTCCATGCTTCCTCAGCTCACTTCATACCAGGGATCTTTCTAATATTGGTCGGCTACGTTGGATGCAGATTCGTACTCGCCAACGTGTTCTTGGTGCTGGCTTTAGGTTTCAACGGGGCGGCGAGTATCTCTAACTTGTCCAACAACCAGGACCTGTCGCCGAATTTCGCTGGGTTTCTATATGGCATCATTAATACAATCGCTGGGACATCGGGTATGATTATTTCGCCGATGGTCGAAGAAATAGCAGGAAAATATGGAGTAAGTTTTTGCTCGTGTAACCTTGTGCTTTATCAGCTTTCTTCATATCAGCTTATCATAAACATTTGTCAAATTACTTGCATGACGTTCTATGTATTGTTCATTCATTCTGATATGGCAGTGAATATCCTGTTAACGCTTAAAACTGCTCCTGGCATATTCGAGACCTCAGTTCAGCCTTGTACTCTGTTGCGTAACTCATAGTACGGGCAGTACTGGGGAATTGTGTGTGCGATGCATCCTAAATGAATCATTTAAATTTCACCGACCTAATAGCGCCTAGAATTTCACTTTGTCGCACAGGGCTTTTTGCTTCGCCTATCCTTTCATTATGCTTTAATTTGGGTCTGAAAAAAAATGAAAGTACAGGAGAAAATGTTGCTTTCTCAATTTCGCGGAGATGCGAAATATAGGTGCCTTGTAATTCTCGTCGTTCAGATGCATGAAGTACTAATTACAGTGTCAATATCCGTGGATCAAACGCGCAAAAAAGATTGCATTTAAGCGGAATAGAAGGCTTCGCTACGCTTATTCGCACTCATGACTGGACGATGTCGATTTGTGGGTACCTACTCGTCTCTATATCATCCAGCTTATAGTACGAGACGTACCTACAAGTCGCATCGTCCTCACATACGCAGCATTCATGCACTCACTTTTTATCCAATGCTTAGTGACCATCTTAATGGCAGGTGTACGGGTACGTGTATACATATTACAACCTATGTTATTTGCTGCTTTATACGCTCAATGCTTGGCACATCTTAATCCTTTCTTGCAGGAAGTTATTAATGTACAAGATTTGTTGCTTTTAGAATACTATCGACAGATGGCAAACGTTGTTCTGGATCGGTGCTGGTGTTTGTATCTTTTGTATGGTCGTCTTTTTATTTGGCGGCAGCGGGAACATCCAGAGTTGGAACGAAATACGACCTGCTGATGAACGACGTCGCAGAGAAGGAAGAGAGTAATTATCGAACCTGTTTTTAGTGATGTGCAATACGTTTGGTGAAACAAACAGTATCATTAGAATGATGGAATTGTGAGTTAACGCGTTCGACTTCTTAAAGAACTGTATTCTTTTGTTATAATGATGACGAGTGTGACGAAGTATTGTGATGATGAATGATATTGTAAATATTTTATAAATTTGATGTCTTAGTTTATGATATTATTTCTAAAATGACGACTTCTGTATATTACAGTTTTTCTATATTTTGTACAACTTTAAATGTTATGAACAATGTACGTGATATGAAAATGTTTTGGTGTTAAATAAATTTGTTTAAATTGAAATGATTTCTGTTCACTGATCTCCACAATATATATGAAATGGAAAAAGGAAAAAAATTTTTAAGGATGCTTAGCAAAAACATCATAGATGCATAGCGTAAAGAGTTCCTTGATAATTGGAAAGAATTTTATTAGTTCGCTATACATTTTATCATCACAAATACTTTATTCGAAGTTGCTAATTTTAAGTTTACGTACTAATTAATCAATGTTATTTTATAACAATAGTGCCTTGTCTTTTCATAAAATAAGATTCTCTATTTAAAAAAAAAGAATATGCAAATTGAAATCTTTCACAGACCTAATGTCTAACAGCGATAAAGTAACAATCTCTGTGCACACTTCATTCCAACCAAACTAGCATACTCTTTAATTTCATTTTCCTCTTCTGGCGACACTGAGTGATGAGACTGTCTTTTATATATTTCATACGGCATGGCAACTTCACGATACAAAACCAATACCTGAAAAAGTATTCATTGATAGAAATAGACAAAATATTTGTTATGGTAAAATTATGGAAATTAATTATTAAGTACCTTGCGAATATCGATTACACCATCTTCGTCGATTGCATCAATGTCATCGTTCAATCTACTATATTTCTGTTTATCTAATTTCAATAAACAAGGCTCTATATCGAACCATCCATAAGTTTCAGGACACAATAATTTCGACGGCCTCATTCGTGCTTTGTATCGCATCTTAGGACATGTGTGTATATAGAATCCCATGTAGTAGTATTTTAAAGCTGGCGCCACTTTATTCAGCTCTCTCGTTAAGTAAACCTCTCGAAGAGAACTGCAGATAAATTTAAGTTTAAACACAGATTTTATAAAAAAATTGTATGTCAACTTATATGTTTCGGAACTGACCTAAAGGTTCCAAGAGAGAGGTAAGAGTACGCTGGGTCATAGAAAAAATAAACGCTTGAGATACAGGAAGGTAAAATGTCTATTACTCCAACGGCAATTAATTCATTATCTAACCAGTATTGTTCGTGGAAGGAACCGTATCCGCTGGGCGGTCCATCTTCTGGTGTCCATGGCTTTAAAATTGTAAACTCCTTAATTGTATATCATCTTTATATAAAACAATTAAAGCAACAGTATTTGAGGAAAAATGTTATGACATCATACATAATTTTTTAAACATTCAAATATTATTTACATGTACATATAAAGGATTCACGGAAAGATCATGCTGAATGCAAAGTGTACCTGCAAAGGACTTTTTACAATAAAATTAAGGAACGATTCGGTATCCAACTCTTCTGGCGGATCTCCATGGATAATCATCTGGTACTTTTTATAAACGTTTGCACTTGCTTCAAGAGTGTTAATAAATTCATCGGATATTGTTCTCACTAATTTTATCTGATGAATTAAACAAAAATAATTGATAAAAAATTTTTGGAATAATTTACATATAGCAAGTAATGAACATAACATATAATAGAAGGTCCACAATGCTCCAATCATGTATCATATCTTTTTACATTATATTAAAACTATTCACTGTAATATTAATTATGTATGATATCAGACACTACATAGAAGCAGTAAAAATGTGTTTAATGCATTCTGATAATGAATAAATATATATAAACTGTAAAATTACCTGTAAAGGTGATTTGACAAGAAATCTTATATACTGCTTCTCTGTAACCTTTTCTGGTACAACTCCATGTATCATTGTTTGATATTTTCTATATACTTCATAAGACTGTTTTGATGTTTCTATGTATCCAGAGCTCATTGGTGAAACTCTAACTAGTTTCAGCTAGTAAAATTTGTAGATTTAACATAACTGTATCACAACAATAATCAAATAAAATACTGTAACTGAATTAGGTAAACAAAAAACATAAAGTAGTTAAATTTTCATGTTATATTTTAGTTTTGCTATGTTTGATTTTTTAGCATCAGATAAATTGGAGGAAAAGGGACCAACTTATTACATGCAATGTTTACCAAGATACTTCAAGTTGTTACAAACCCTACCTCCAGCCTACTGGTTCCATTACACACTTCATCAAACAACTTCTCTAAACTTTTAGCATTATTATCCTGTTTATTCGCGTTAAAGATAGCTTCTACTTCTTCTGGAGATTTTCCTTGTGCTAATAATTTATTCTGTTTGCGTTGTTTACGTAACATTTTTGCTTTCATACATGGTGGTCTAGTTGCAGTCTTTGCAGACTGTGAATTGTGAGATGTACTGTCTGTCTCATTATTATGACTTGATGCCACAGGTATATTTTCTGAACTCTTTTGTGGAACTTTCAAATCATTAGCTTTGTTTTCTTTGCTCGATACATCAGGATGTAATCTCATGTTCACTTCATCATTTACAAATTTTACATTCATGTCAGAAACATTTTCTTGGGCTTTTAAAAAGTGTTTGCTTTGATTAGGAATTTCTGCAATATCTATAATAGATTGATGTTAGAAACACATTTTGAGGATACATGTTGAAGTTCGGGTTATTTGTACCTATATTATCACAGTGGTCATCTTCACCAATATCCATACTATCGTCCTTCTGTAATTCATTTCTTAAAAACTTAGCCATTCTTTTCAAGACTTTCTTCTGCGATTTAGAAATTTTAAACTGTAATGCCTCACATCTAGGACAAACAATATAAAACTTTATATACTCATTATAAGATCATGTTATTATAACAATTAAAAGATTTTCCAGTTTCTTACTTGATGGTATACATTGGACAACATGTTTGATCCATTGTTGGTTTGTAACAATAAGAACCGCATCTTCTCCAACCTCTGTCTATTAAACTCTGATAATCTTGCACAGTCAGTATATGGGTTCCCATGCCTAAAACATATTAAATTGGTGAAACAAAGAAGTATCGCTTAAATAAAATTTATACATGACATAGTTGACACGACACTCTTAAGCATATGTACAAGCAACTGTCAAGTGAGACACATAACCTATCAATAAAAGTACGTAATCATACATAATTTCAATTTCAAATTATTACTTGCCATGACTAAAATTTGTATTCGGACTTTTACAGTAACCGCAGCTATATCTTTCTTGTTCAGCATAATATTCAACAATACTGTACGACTGTTTCGCCATTTTTTGTTCTTCTCTAGCCACTTTTTCTGCTATTATCTGAACAACGTTGATGTGATCATAAAAAAAATGACATGTAATCGTCTGAACTGTGTTTGTTGTTTGATAACTTTCTACATCAAAAACTTCAACGATATCACTCCATATTTACAAATTTAATGCACTAAACAGGAAATGACATTGTACTGCCATCTTGTTTCAATTTTAAATGACGAGGCTAAAAATATTTTGAAAGTATGTATACATCTTGTGCAAGGCTTTCACTAATACAACAAAACAAATTATAAGATGAAGTCATGTTAAAAGGAAAACTTCTTACGTTATTAACATGAATAAATACTGAAAATGTGATAAAAAATAAATACTGAAGTAGACTATCATAAGTGTATATATATAATATACGTAATTGATTGAAAATTATAAGGATTTTCATAAATTAGGATTCATAAATTAGGATTTATGAAAATTGACAACTATTGCCACAGTGTTTAAGAAGGTTACAACTTTGACCTTATATTATTTTAAAGATTGACTGTGTTGTTTTATATGATAGCTATGTTATAAAGCAGGGAAATTACTATAAAATAGTTAATTAGAAATAAATTACTTTTTGGTTTATCAGTAGCATCTAAATTATCACTGAAGATTAAATTTATGAAGCTATAATTTTCCTAATGTATTATTAAACGCTAAGATGATATATCGTTTCATATTTTGCCATTTTCATGAATGAAGTTACTCCTCCTTTACAGCAACAGGCGTTCCTTACTACACAGCGTGAAACATCGATCTATTCCTTCGGGATACCCCCTTCTCCCGGCTGGTTACAGTTTCCACTCAGTGTAGTATCAACAACTTGAAATGCCTCCTCTAGCACCGATTTATACTACTGCAAATTATACATGCATTATCCATCAACTTTTACACTCATACTTTTTATGTTCTTTTCAAAATTTTTTTGACTACCTTTTAGCCTTAACCTATCTTTGTATCTCCCTCGAGATTTTGCCCATCAACCTAAATTCTCAATGTGATTTTTATAAGAAGTTTTTAAATATTGTTTCTCAAGGTCTCAAGGTGATGCCAACTCTTTCCAAACCCTTCTTTTTTCTAGATTTTCTTTGCCCCCAAGATCGAAAGCACTTGATATCTCATTGTGATCCTGCGTCGGGTGTTTTAGGTCTCTAGGTACATCCATGTTTTCCTCCCACGGGTGATTTTCTTCACGACTCACGTACATCCCCCCACTAAGTGTTGGAAGCACGGGGATTCGTCGTTCCCAGAATCAACGGGTGACGTCAATGGGAATCAACCTTCGCGCTTCAGGTCGAGCACGTCGAATTATATTACTTCATAGAACCAACCCGTAATTATAGCGTCCTGTATCCTCCGAATAATCAAGCTTTCAGTAGATTCACAAAAACCCTCCTGTTCAAATTCGTTGAAGATGGTGTTCATTTTTTCCAGTACAACTGATGCTTTAAATCCAGGCATAGTACTGCAAAAAAAGCTGTACTGGTTTCCATAAGTTTAATACAATTAACAGATAAATATCTCTTAATTATTGAAACTCGAGATCTCGCTGTTTTTCTGAGAAACGATTTAGGACGCACTTTTTCCGCAGCTCGAATTTGCGCAAGCGTGCGTTCTTCGGAAATAGATCAATTACGAAGATACGTCAAGATGCATCTCAGGTAAACAGTTAAGCTTTCAAAAACTTCCCCAGAGAATTTCTTTCTCTCTGCTCTTTCTGAAAAGAGAGTATAATATATCTTTTTAATTAAATTGAAAATTATTTATCAAAGAGTTTTACCTGAGAAATTAATTTTTTGTATAGAAAAAAGAATCCGAAGATCGTACGGGGGCGAGGTCATAAATATTTCAAGGATCTCAGGCGATGATAAATATTTTGTCGTAAGACGTCAGCGTGATAACGCAGAAGGAAAAGAAGAAATTTCGCACGTCTCCCTCTTTCCCCTTTCGATCCTGTTTCTCATGCACAACAGAAAATATATGCGTGGGCGTTGGGTAATCGTGGGCGTTGTACGATGGGGAGGGTGTGGGCGTTTTTGCCTGTTGCGGGGGTTGAAGAAGAGCTGGGGACTGAATACGGAAAACGCTGCTACAATTTTCAACCCTGGAACTTCCAGACCACAAGGAAAATTTTGTAAATTACCTAAAACAATAGGATTGTTAAAACAATAGTAATTAACAGTAGTTAAGAGAATTCTCTACTTTTATAGGGTAAACGGTTCCAGGAACTTTCTCTGTTAATACCTAGAGCCATCCATCTACAAATGACATTGACACACTATAATTTCAGTCCGCAATTTACCAAAAAAGTCTGGAATTAAAATAAGAGACTTGTACAATTCTGAAAGTTCTTTGAAAGTAAAGATAAGTTTCATGTCTGCCCATTTACCTTCAAAACAATAAGAAAGGATACGCGAGAGAAGATTTTAAGAATAGAACCGAAGATTTGGTCGGGTCATCGCGTGGGTAGACGTATTTCGTACCACAATAGCGTATACAAGTTCTGTGTGGAGTGTCTGCAGAAATGTGCGCGTGTGGACGTCATATCACCTCGAGTAGGGGTTGCTCGAAAGGGTAGGGGATGCTCGTTCACCAAGGTGGGGTTGGTTGATCGACCGTACCCTCCACTGGTTTTCTAGTCGTCCTGTCGAGCTCCAACATTCATTCTACCTCGACCAGCCGAACTCGCCAGTTCTCTACGTCCTCGAGAACCATCGCCACGAGAAACATCCGAGGAAATCTTGAACTCCAGAACAACTAAGGTGAAAATTTCCTTCTGACAATCGTTTCAAATCCTCTTGTCAATTTAATTGGTACCTGCAAAAATTAAAGTTGGAAGAGTAAAAATATTTTCTATAAAAAATTTATCAGAAAGATTGACAGTGATAGGCTTGTATTATCGACATTTTAACACGCAGAAATTGTACGAATTCAAAATCTGTAAATTTTGATTTAAGAGTTCATTATCAGAGAAGAAGTATGAGCATTTCGAGTCATCAATGAAAGTACAGTCAATGAAATGTATTTTTAATTGCGAGTTGCATAGACGTACACAAACGCGATAAATGAGCTATAGTATTTCTAGACGCAACAAGTGTGCGATTTCTGGATCTACTATATCCGGTTCAATTTCATTTCCTGCTCAGCTTTAATTGTTACACGCTATCGCTCGCGTCCAATCACGAAGTTTCGATCGATTTTATCAAAGCTACCCAAACATATTATCGCTAACACTGACTTTAACTTAGGGGAGCTTTCGGAGATGCAAATTTCGAATTATTCTAACTTTCAAATTTAGGAAATTAATGTATACATTTTCAAATTCTTTGAATCTTTAAACTTGCAAACTTTCAAGCAATATATAGGTTCTCTTTATAATGGCTTTAGGGTTTCAAACTTTGACATTTTAAACAGATCTATTATAAGTTTCCTGACATACTCTATTCTACTCTGTACATAAACTAATTGCGAGTACGCAGGGTACTACCTTGAGAAATATCAGTTAACTATATTCCATTAATTTCGTGTAAGACTCGAATCATAAAAAAATAAGGAACTGCACGATATCGCCGTTAATCTTTTACACGCAATGGAAATAGATTCTTGACATTTCGCATTATGTGACATTTAAGCTTCTTTTGTAGCGACCTGCTATCTTCATTTGCCTATGCTACGTAGACTTTAACCTGTATACGAAGAGCATACTTTATCGAAATGATGTATTCAGTACTGAAACCTAATAAATTCAGTACCGATGCCTAATAAATTTTTCGAGAGTTCGAAACTTTTACACTTGTTTGTAAATTCCTTAATTTCTAAATTTGAAAGTTTTTGATCTCCGTGGATCTACGTCTTATGCGTGCGCTGTTCATACGATGAATTCTTCAGCAACCATTACTTCCACCATCTACAAGGAATATTTTTTTACTCTTCTAAAAGTAGCTGAATTTTAAAACCTACCTGTTACTTATTAGACAGAAGATCATGTAAAAAATTTTTTCTAGACGATGTACGCCTGGGTGTGGTTGACTCTGTGCTGTCTCATTATGGTCCAATCCTTGCCGACGAATCTGGAAGAAGGAAAAAAGACTGAGCAAACAATGAGACCAAAACGTAAGACTTATTTCCTATGATATTTTAAACTATCAGAACATATTTATATGTTCCAAGATGTTTACTTATTTACTATTTTAGCAAAACGAACACAGGAGATGTTGATGTTTGGTAATCAACAGAATCGTCAAGCAGAAAGCAAAACCACCTCGTATTCCTCTACAGCAGAGAAAAGTACGTCTCCCTGAATGATCTTCTGTTATCATTTGTTACACCCTTTCTTTGTGTTACAGGAACTCTTGCCTCGGCAGGATTAGGTGGACTGAAGGCAGCTTTGGCCGAAGAGGAGAAGTCTCGTTCTAATACTCCTAACAATGCCATGTACGATCGTGATTCCTTTCCTCCCTATGAAAAGAATTACGAGTAAGTGTTTTATAATGATATGATCTTATGAGTATATTATGAATACCTTGTAATTGCTGGTAAAATTAGCCTATAAATGAAGATATAAATACTGGATGCATAATGTTATTACAGGAGATATATATTAATTTTTATGGTGGACAAATATTTGTTATGTTTCCACATTTTATATCTTAGAGCTCTGTATCTCAGTGCTTTGCTCCACTATTCTACTCATATTCTAGTGCTCTACTGTATCTGAAGGTCCTGTGTTCTTATGTATTGTATCCCTGTGCCTTGTATCCCTACAAAGGGTTCCATATGTTCCATATTCCAACGTGCCCTATCGCTCTGCAATTCCATCTCAAATTCCAGTACTTCACATGCTAGTATGCTGTGCCCCAATACTTCACATCCCAGTATGCTATACCCCAATACTTCATATGCTGTACTCCAATACTTCACATCCCAGTATGCATACCTACAAAATCCAGAATCTAACTCCAAGTGTCCTACATTACCAATAAACCTAACAAACATTTTCTGCATAGTTACAGCAAGGTCCTCGTCAACGAACTAGGCGACGAGATGCCGCAAGTCTGGGACGTTCCCGCGTACTCTCGCTACTACTTGAACGAAGACCGTCGGAAGAGGTCCGAGAAGTCTGGAGTCGGATCAACCACCATAAAACCATCTACCTCGTCATTCCAATCAACATCCACTCAGCAGTCCGTGTCTCAAGCAAAGAGAAGGTGAGTGAAACCTGAAAAAGAGTTTGACGCAGAATGTGTTGCATTTCATGCTGTTTTCGAGAGCGTTTCATAGTTCGTAATAATGCACCTGTAGCAGGCTGGGTGAATCGACTTGGTAACCCGGCTGTTCCCACCCTTGCGAGCACGCCTTTCCCGCCCTCTTGCTCGGGACAACCCTCTTTTTCTTCGACATTTCTTCTGAATGGGGATGAGAGGGTTGGCGAGGGCGTTGCCCTCGGCAGAAACGACGGTCGGCTTGACGACCAAGTCGGTTCAATACGACGTCGTTATCAAAGTTGATCAGCGGAGTATGTTGAACCTGCTCTTCTTAGTCCACTCGTGGAGGGAACGCTTTCCAAATTGTTCACCTTCTCTTTCATCTGCAATACAATTCGAAATTAGGCTCAGCTGTTTTACTTGTTAGTACATACACTTTTAAACAATCTATACATTTCATCTTACCATACATGTACATATATATAGTATATATGTACTTTCTTCATATGTCTATCTCCCCATAGCCTCATATCTTTCATCTAACTATACATATACATATACATAAAAATATATATGTATACTTTACATATATCTATCTCCACATATCCTCATATCCTTCTAACCATACATATGTATATATATAGTACAGTATATGTATATCTCCCTAGATCTCTATATTCCTAGTGAGACACTATGCACCTACATCTGATCGGCAATCCAGAGTTTCAATTATAGCGATGCAAGATTCAACTATAGGTTGAAACTTGATATCTTTACAGCGAAGGCTATCGACGACATTTATAACGTACACACGAAGCAGTTATTCATTAATTAAATGACGTCGACGATGACGTTCACCGATACGTCAGAGCATGATCAATTATTTTAAAGTCAGCCGGTAGAGTTCCTTACGTCAAACTTTTATTTTTACGCGGAAAAACGTAGCCGCCGCGTCGACGTGCAATTGCTTGACCCGTAAATAAATGTCACAGGTCACTCGTGCACTTTTTCTCCTTTACATAGGAGGGAGACTCGACAAGATTGAAACCGGTTGACAGTCGTTCTTAATGCGATTCAATTTTCGAAATTAATTTCTAACGAGAAGCAAAGTCTTTGCTGATTGCCGTTGATAAAATACTCTTCCAATGATGTAGCTTGCTTCTTTAATATCTTTATCTTGCTTCTTTAGAATCTCCTTGCAAAAGTTTTGATGCTAGATAATTAATATTAACAGCTTCCGTCTCAAGTTTTAAAACATGCTCCAAGTTGATCTTTGAGGGGTCATAAAATTGTTCGAACCTGGAAACATATGGAATTAGTATGTTTGAAAGTTACAAGGGATAATTAGGAACGTATAAAAATATATTTCACAGACGTGAAACTGTTTTATCGCGACCTATCTCCATACTGAACATATTACTGAACGTCATTTTTTAAAAAACATATCTTTGTTTCAACTTTATCCTTCAGACCTCGAGATATTAATGACCTTTCATTTGTACAAACGTTAATTAACGCCAACAGGTCACAAGCGTATAACTCAAAAGAACAGAAAATATAAAAAGCTTTTAACATGAAATAAATTGTGGGCGGCTAAAATCTAATAATCGTGAGAATGAAATTTCGGGATTCAACAAAACATTCACGCGACAATTCGCTAAAGCATCCCTCGCGTGGGCGTTCCTAGATGCGTGGGTAGACACAAGTACAATTTGGTGCAGTCATCGAGACGTTCGATACTCGTGACGCAAGAGTGTAGCTTTCCAAGGGGTGTATCCACGAAAAGCTGAATGGAGCAAAAGTAGGTCAGGTCTATTACTTGATATATCAGCTGACTAGTTAGCTATGACACTTTCGGTGCATATTCTCGTTCCAGATGAATTTTATATCAACGAATATAGGAAGTTACTTCCTTTAAAGATATAAAAATGCTAAGTCTCCCTAATAAGCTCTCCCTAGGCTCTCTTATCCATACATAACTTTTAAACTTTTCTGGTCCTTATCTCTTTCTAAGTGAACCTTCTAGAGAACATTTACTGGCATATAGATACATAAATTAGGAAACAGAAGCCTTGAACTATTCTCTGTAACTTCCATAGCTCTCCTTCTAAAATTATCATTATAGTGCAAATTTCTTGAGTCGACAAGTTCGCTGTTAAATCATTCACATATCTTATAGAGATTCTATAGACTTTCAATTTTGTTCCCTCTCTTTTTTCTTCATTTGTGTATATACTAAGTTTCTGAATGAAACCACCTGACGAGTCCGTATCGTTTTGGCATATGACCAGCCAATCAGCTGTTGGCGTTCGCCGGTGCCATATCGATCATCCGCAACAGAGCGTGCCAAGCATGCTCGGCAGACCCGACCTACGATAACATTCTATCTCAGCGCAAACGCGTACGATTTGCTGGTCATTGGTGCAAACTATCCTTTTGTTCGCTGCTTTTTCCATTCAAACTCTTCGATACTGCATGCACAACCTGCGATGAAATCGATTTGAGTAAATGCTAGCTTGAATGTTAAGTACAAAGGAAGTTACCCAACTTGAAATTTTCAGCGTTCCAATTTATCAGGAGCCGCGATTCAAAAGGGAATTGGATATCGATCCGGAAGACGTGTTAACTCTTCTGTCCCTTTGGGAGAACGAGCGTAGAAAACGGTAATTGCATTGTGGATCATAATTCCAAGTACACCTGAAACTAAAGTGTTTTTAATATTTAGGAACTGGCACAAGTACATGAACGACGAGTACGAGAATGTGGAGGACGAAGACAATCTTCTTGATGAAGAGGATCCTCGAAATGGTACATGCAATATATCTTTACAGTCAAACCAGAGTTTCATAGATAACTACAGAGATCTACAGATTTACAAATATAGAACGTACTATAATTGTGTGAATTTATGGACTATGAAATGAAATGAAATTAAATGAAATTAGTGTTTGAGTATAAAAGTTTTAGCTCTGGTTTGAACGTTATGCAAACAGTCTATCTGTCTAATTTTAATACATGATTGTTTCAATCTATAAATAGTAATTCCATGGATGGATTCTCCAGTGTATCCCCCTCGTCACTACAGCCTGGACTCCCTGTCTCCTTCAGACATAGGAATCATTCGCACTCATCCATCCAGTTATTATGAACAATACGAGAACCAATATGGTCAACAATACGACGGTTCTCAATACGGCAGCCCCCAGTATGGTCTTGTGTATCCTCAGAGTTACTACAACCTCCCCGAGAAGAGGTTTATGGTCTCCAGAAAGCGCTCTCAGGTATTAGCAACCCTGAAAATGATGTACTATAAGTATGATTTACAAGAAATATTTATAATTGATTTTTGTTACAGGCATATGATCCTTACTCTAATTCTGCTCAGTATCAGATAAGCTCTCAATCACGAGGATATCCTTACCAGCACCGTCTAGTATATTAAACTGTTACTTAAAGTAATATCGAAAACGTGATTGATACGAGGGATCTTTATCACGAGGGTAACGAACTGACGTTTTCGGACTCACGTATACGCAAGATAATTTTCTGACGTCTCTCTCTCTGACGCCCCCTTCTTTTAGCTATTCTGTTATGAAACAGTAATACGTTCTCAAACGGCGAGACAAGAGAGACTACTTTAAGAAACACGGTGCTCAGAAAGACTTCACTTACAAGAGCCTGCTGAAATAGCCCTCTTAAACCTTTGGCCAATGCGTTGTAAGATTTTATCTTTCTTTTCCAAAATAGAAAACACCCTGAATTAAGAACGTTTGGTTTCAGCGTGCTCTTGTATTTCTTAACACGTTAATCATTTAGGACTCTCGTTATATCGCCACCCTTCTCTGTAGAGTTTTCAAGCCTCCAGATTTTAAATTTATTAAAAATTTTGGCAAGATCTATATTTTCAAAATGTTCAAGTTATCTTAATTCTTGGATTTAAGTAATCAAGATGAAAATGTAACAATAGCTCCCTAGTGCGGGGTGATATAACAAGAGTTTACTGTACTCGCTAGTACAACGTCAATTGTATTAATCTTACAGTAGTTAACGTGTTAAAACACTATACAGGGTGTCTCACAACGTCCCTGAAATGAGGGGTAGATTCTGAACAAGATTTCCCTTTGCGAAAATCTAATTCAGAATTAGCTCCTCATTTCAGGGACACTTGTGAAACACCCTCAAGCTCTCCTTGCTTGCAGCACGGGCAGGAAGAGCCCCGATCAATCGTGCGACGACTGAAATCGTTAAAACAATCGTAGTGTATTCGAATCAAACTATCCTCATGCTTTTCTGACTGATTAAAAAACGGACGAAGAATAGTTTTTCCATGGGTTAGGCTCGATAGACTCCATCCGATTAGACGACTAGGTGATGGGATTACATGGACGACCTACAATAAAAGGAGGACAAGATTTATTCGAGACGATAGTGAACGATAGAATAGAAAAAAAAATAACGAGGCTGATATGTCATTTTATAATTGTTTACCATTCGTTTCGCTTTTGTGGATTGTTACATATACGGACGTGTATAACAAGTTCATACGTGTATGTAGTTCATCCTCTTTGAATTAGTTTGCAAGAGGGATAGAGAGAGATATTGTACACGCATACAGTGGGAAGTAAACCTAGAAAAAATTCCTGTATATATCAATTTAAGATAATACTTGTATATAATTTTACAATTATTTCAGCCAGGGTGGCAAGCAAAATAAGCTTCTTGTTATAAAAATATTACATAATCTAAATAACTTTAAATCTCTATAAAATTTCAAGATGACAGTCTTAGTTTGAAAAATGAAATTTCAGTTTACAGTCTTTCATATGAAATACAAGATTAAAGATTACAAACTTTGTTGAGTATGAATATGTTGCAGTATTAAGCCTTAAGCTTACTTTGAAAAATGAAATATTACTTTACAGTCTTTCATATGAAATACAAGATTAAACATTACAAACTTTGTTGAGAATGTATTTGTTGCTGTACCTTGAACTGAAGTAATTGCATCATTACATACACTCTAATTATTTTGCTCTCTATTTTGGTTCACTGTATGTGTAAGATCAATGGTGTATATATTGAGTACTGAAAATACCAGTTTGAATCCAAAGCTAATGGACGATATACAACATATCTTCTATTGAATTCACACTTTATATTCGACGTACATCCTCCTACCCTTACTTTAAACATAATTGTCAATTAATTTTTTAGCCGTGTACAGACTTATACTATACTGTCTGCGGGAATAATCAGTGATGATTCTTGCATCAGTTTAGAATTAAAATTTCGTGACTGGATTCTCGAGTTAATGTTCTTGACAATTATGCTCTATTGAATATGAAAGTAAAAAGTTTATCAAAAACGAGATCCAGGTGAAATTTTAATTCCTACCGTGAATATAAAGTGTGAAGTATCTTTTACAGATAATCCATCGTCTTACCATTGTCATTGGCATAACTGAAGTTTTAGTCTAGGCCATTGTATCGCTTTAACATTGTTTCTATAATCTGAGAATATTATGTTTATATAATTGAATATCGTTCAGCTCGAATTTCTATTGAAAGAGCGAATATTCTGGACTGCATGGTTACGCCAATGACCATTGTCTCTGAAAATAAGAAAGAAATGATTCAAGGAAAAAAAGGAGGAAAGAAAACTTGTAAAACTTACACCAAATAACATGTAATGTTCTTCTCGATTGAACCAAACACGGCCTTCCATAGAGCAAAATGTTCCGAGGAGACTGAATAAATTTTCCTTTTGGTTCCTTGTTCGCTTGAACGCGTACAATGATTATTTTTCACGGTAGATACAACAGCAGAATAGAGAGAGATAGATATAAAAAACGAGAGAGAAATAGAGAGAGAGAGATTAAAACCAGCGTACGACTGACCGATCGATCCGTGAACGATCGGCGATAAAATCTTTTTTGTGACTTGATGCTCTATATTTTTGACGATCGTTTAGCGTGTAATTAGTATTTACGTAGATTAAGTATCGTTGCGACGGAATGATTCAGTATTTATTACTCATTGTAATTAGCGTTATAGATGAGAAATATTGATTATTGTGTACAATTAAAGGAACATCAATCAATTCGGTTTGAGTTTCATTGATAATAAGGCACTCGTATTTTTTTAGCTCCTCTCATCTAAAACAGAAAGGCATTAGTATTAACATTTTGTCTCAGCTTTTAAAGTGTACACATTGCACTATGTCAAATACTTAGACTTTACACTCTTACATCTTTATATCTTCTGCACTCTACAATGTTCCAAAGCTTCCCACTCTATTTTTTTATTACTATTTTTTACTCGTTTTCTATATAATTTCAAACAGAATAAGATTCTAGAGATACAAGATTCTAGTCAATTATGCAATATTGAGGACTCCAGTTTTCCCCACTTTCGCACACAGAACAAAAATTAAGCTATTTTTGATGCATGTTCGATTTTACTAATGAAGAATAGATTTATATATCCTTAAACGAACGAATCAACATCGTTATTCAGACTTCTTGTTATGCTACAAAAATATCTTCCTTCTTGATATTAAAAGGTTTGACAAAAAGTTGAGATATCTTCAAGAAGAAACGTGGAACAATAATCGTATTTCAGCAACATGCAAATGAAAATGTTTCTTTGAATGACAATAGTTTGGGTGAAATGTCCCTTGCCTTTATTTATGGATTTAAAAATTTCGGAATCTCCAAAGTTGTAATTTTAAAAATTAGCGAGTGACTTATTTATTATACTAGTGATCAAACTTACAATACTTTCTGGACTATGCATGAAAAAGAGCAGAAAGACGTGTAACAGTAACAATGAGTCTATGTGCATAATAGTCCTATATGTAAACGTTCAATGGTACATGTGCGTTATGAAAGAAGTTATGTATACTCGGCACCGAAAGTATTTTTTCAAACTAATGGTGCTTCTCGAACGATATAATTGTAATGAAACTAAACGAGAAATAAATAATTGTATTCAACTTGTGAACTTTTACTTCTGATGTTTATGTATATTTCTGCTTTTTGTTGAAATAAACAGTACAATCAAAACTATATTATACAAGTTAATATTTGATCACCCATAAAAAAGACATTCTGTTCTATAACCCATATTTTCTTTCATTAATTGTTTCTATTAATTATATCTATTAATTATTTCTATTAAACATAAACAGAAACAAAAGACATTCTGTTCTATAACCCAAATATTCTTTCATCAATTATTTCTAATAATTATTTTCTTTCATTATTTCTATTAATTATTTCCTTTCATTATTTCTATTAATTATTTCATTTAAACATGGCCAAAAGATCAACTCGTCGCGTCGTTATTATCGATCCTACCGATTGGCCGAAATCATTGTATGATGATATTAATTGGAAATTGTTGCAAGCTTGCACCGTTCGGCATATAGCTATAGCGAGAGAAGCGCTGTCTCAGGCACGAAAAAGTTGTTTCGTGTTCTCCATCTACAATAAAAAAATTTAGAAGTTAGAATTGTATTAATGTTAAAATAATTATATTATAAACATTATATACTTTAGGGCGCTGATGTTAATTGCAGAAGGTCCGATTTCTTGACGCCGCTGCATATCGCTACCGAACATAATGATACGGAACTCGTACAATTGCTCTGCGATCAGCCATCCATCGATATTGAGGCAAAAACGATGCACGGTTGGTTATCTTTAAATAACAAGCATAAATTAATACCTACATTGCTGCATCTTATATATTATATTATTTATTAAACAAAAGAAAAATCAACATTATTTTTAACATTACTGGTTTCATATCTATAGGATTGACACCGCTTCACAAAGCTGCCTTATTAGGACATTCGCATGCGATTCTAACATTGCTAGAAAATGGCGCCGCAGTTAATTGCACGGATAACCTAAGAAGATATCCGTTACATTACGCCGCTTTACACCGAGACGTTAAAAGTGCCACTATATTATTAACAAACAATGCTAACGTGAACGTCTATGACGTCTTTCATGAAAGTCCACTTTACACTAGCGTCATTCGAAGACCCTTCTATCCGATGATTAAATTATTGCTAGCATACGGGTAAGCGAGTATAATGTTGCAATTTTCGAAAGTCGTAATAAAAATAAATTTTTCTAGAGCTACAGTACACTCGGAACCTCATCAGAATTCGTTAGGGTTACTTCTTGAAGCTGTGTTAAGTATGAAAAGCGCATCGGATATAAAAATATTGGAACTTCTTTTTCGAAGTGATGCAAATGTAAATACAACGGATGCCTGTGGTTTACGTACCCCTTTGCACATAGTAGCTATGACAGGAAATTTTGAACTAGCCTCGTCAGTAAATAAATATTAAATAAAATTCCGCAACATATTCTAATAATTTTCTTTAAAATCGAGTAGGTATCTTATCGAGAAAGGAGCTGATTTAAAGTGGGAAAATCGAGCTGGACGAACACCCATGGATGTAGCTATAATGTGCGGACACTTCAAAATTGCGCAGTTAATTCATAATTCCTTTTCAACGAAATTAAAAATACATCGAACATCTAGTACAACAGACCTTACAAATGGGCAAAATTAAATTTTTGAACGTCAAACAGATACGCATGCGTCTCATGGCAAAATGCAGAACTAAAGCTTAGACTGCTTGCTAACAGATGGTGTTAATATGGCGCTGTAATTAAATAATTATCTTCGTATGATAATAAATGCATAAAATCCCCTTCTTTTCGATAATGTATATACAATTGCAAATATATTTAACAAAAAATAATTATGAATATGTTAATAAGAAGTATAGCATAATTGTGTCAAATTTATTTTACAGCAGAATGGTATAATGAAAGTGCATACATGTCATTGATTATAGAGTTTGTAGAACAGAGATAGCATGCACTGTTGTTCATCACAGCTTTTCTAAAGTTAGGTTAGATGGAAAGTGTCTTGTGTACTTATTTACGTTAATAAACTAAACGTAAATAACATGGCAGTTCCGTCAGTTTCATTATCAACCCGAAATAAGAAGCATTTCTTAGGAGTGCCAGCACCTTTGGGATATGTTGCCGGTGTTGGAAGAGGGTAATATACAAAATACAATGTTATTTTATGATCCTAACCCTTTTCGTTGAAATAACATATCAAAACGTTATTTGTCTCTCGTTTTTAGTGCTACTGGATTTACTACTCGGTCTGATATCGGTCCAGCTCGAGATGCTAACGATGTCTCGTAAGTATTTTATTCTAAAATATGCTCCAATGAAAATATACTATTTCACTATTGTTTGGTATCATATTGGTTTCTTATATTTTACTTGTAGAGATGACAGACATGCACCCCCTACAAAGAGAACAAAAAAGAAAGAGGAAGAGGAAGAAGATGAAGAGGATCTAAACGATTCTAACTATGATGAATTTTCTGGATATGGAGGATCCTTATTTAGTAAAGTAAGTTTACTATAAATACTACAGAATAAGTGAATGTATTCTGTATTAAATCATTAATGTTTTGCAGGATCCATATGATAAAGATGACGAAGAAGCCGATGCCATATATGAAGCTATTGATAAACGAATGGACGAAAAACGTAAAGAATACAGAGAGAAAAGACTTAGGGAGGAATTGGAAAAATATCGACAGGAACGTCCGAAAATTCAACAGCAATTTTCTGACTTAAAACGAGAATTAGTAAATGTAACCGAAGAAGAATGGAAAAATGTTCCGGAAGTGGGTGATGCCAGAAACCGGAAACAGAGAAATCCCAGAGCTGAAAAGTTTACTCCCTTACCAGATTCTGTTCTTGCAAGAAACTTGGGGGGTGAAACATCAACTAGTATCGACCCTTCTAGTGGTTTGGCATCCATGATGCCTGGCGTAGCCACACCTGGAATGTTAACTCCTACAGGAGACTTAGATTTAAGGAAAATTGGACAAGCTAGAAACACTTTAATGAATGTTAAATTGAATCAAGTTTCTGATTCTGTGGAAGGACAAACTGTTGTTGATCCTAAGGGTTATCTAACAGATTTACAAAGTATGATTCCAACTTATGGTGGTGATATCAAGTAAGTAGCACAAGATATCAAATGTAATCATTCTATTAAATATTTTCTCCTCATTATTTTCTTTTTTCAGCGACATCAAAAAGGCTAGATTATTATTGAAATCTGTGAGAGAAACAAATCCCAATCATCCACCAGCATGGATCGCGTCCGCTCGATTAGAGGAAGTTACAGGAAAGGTGCAAGCCGCTCGAAATTTAATAATGAAAGGATGCGAGGTAAATCCTACTTCGGAAGACTTATGGTTAGAAGCAGCTAGACTTCAGCCTCCAGACACAGCTAAGGCAGTGATCGCTCAATCAGTGAGACACATACCGACGTCTGTAAGAATCTGGATAAAGGCAGCAGATTTGGAAACAGAAACAAAAGCAAAAAGAAGAGTATATCGCAAAGCGCTGGAACATATACCAAATTCGGTAAGACTGTGGAAAGCGGCAGTTGAATTAGAAGAACCGGAAGACGCTCGTATTTTACTCAGTCGAGCAGTCGAGTGTTGTCCAACCAGCGTAGACCTATGGCTTGCTCTTGCCCGGTTGGAAACTTATGACAACGCAAGAAAGGTCCTCAACAAAGCAAGAGAAAATATACCGACTGACAGACAAATCTGGACCACTGCTGCGAAATTGGAGGAAGCGAATGGAAATAAACACATGGTTGAGAAGATCATTGATCGTGCGATATCTTCTTTGAGCGCAAACGGAGTTGAAATTAATAGGGAACATTGGTTCAAAGAAGCTATGGAGGCAGAAAAGGCTGGTGCGGTCCACACTTGTCAAGTTATTGTCAAGGCAATTATTGGTTTTGGAGTGGAAGAGGAGGACAGGAAACATACTTGGATGGAAGATGCAGAAACTGTAATGTCATTAATATATATTAAATCCTGTAATATGAATCAGTCTCTTCATTCTCTTATTGTTTCAGTGTGCGCAACAAGGGGCACTGGAATGTGCCAGAGCTGTTTACGCTTATGCGTTGTCAACATTCCCCAGTAAAAAATCAATCTGGCTACGTGCAGCTTATTTCGAGAAAACTTATGGAACACGAGAGTCTTTGGAATCCTTGCTTCAAAGAGCAGTTGCTCACTGTCCCAAAAGCGAAGTACTTTGGCTTATGGGTGCGAAGTCTAAATGGTTGGCGGTACGTAGGATTTATAGAAATTGTACAAGTATCTTATCTCCTTGATGTGCAACAATGTCAATTTTGCAGGGTGACGTTCCAGCAGCCAGAGGTATCTTGTCTCTGGCGTTCCAGGCAAATCCCAATTCGGAGGAAATATGGTTAGCAGCTGTGAAATTGGAGTCAGAAAATTCGGAATACGAAAGAGCCAGACGGTTGCTTGCTAAAGCCAGGGCGTCTGCACCAACACCCAGAGTTATGATGAAAAGTGCAAAATTAGAATGGGCCTTGAACAACCTTGACGCAGCTTTGAAACTTCTGAAGGAAGCCTTAGAAGCATTCGACGACTTCCCTAAGTTATGGTTAATGAAGGGTCAAATTGAGGAGCAACAAGGCAATTTGGATAGAGCTCTAGACACATATACTCAGGCTGTAAGTTTTTTCTTATTAAATTGACAATAAATTGGAGATCAAGTTATTTACATTTCTTACTTGATTTACAGATAAAGAAATGTCCCAGTTCAATTCCCCTGTGGCGACTGTTAGCACAGTTAGAACACCGAAAGGGACAAGTTACTAAAGCTCGATCAGTATTGGAAAAAGCACGGTTGAAAAATCCTAAAAATGCTGAACTTTGGTTAGAAGCTATCAGGAACGAATTAAAAAGCGGAGGCGTTAGAGACATGGCTAATACACTAATGGCAAAAGCATTGCAAGAATGTCCTACATCTGGTTTACTTTGGGCTGAAGCAATTTTCATGGAACCACGGCCACAAAGAAAGACTAAAAGCGTGGATGCTTTGAAAAAATGTGAGCACGACCCTCATGTGCTTCTGGCAGTGTCCAAGTGAGTATATAACTATTAGGTGTAACATTTTAATGATACAGACACAAGTACAATGACAAAAATATTTTACAGGCTCTTCTGGTGTGAACATAAAATTACAAAGTGCAGAGATTGGTTCAACAGAACTGTTAAGATAGATCCAGACTTAGGAGACGCATGGGCTTATTTTTATAAATTTGAATTGTTAAATGGAACCGAGGAGCAACAGGAAGACGTAAAGAAACGATGTATTACCGCCGAACCTCATCACGGTGAAAACTGGTGTAAAGTGTCGAAGAACATAGCGAACTGGTGCTTGAGCACAGATCAGATTTTAGTACTAGTTGCGAAAGATTTACCTATTCCGATATAATATTTAGGATAAGATAGGACGAGTTGTATATATATATGTATTTATAGTTTTTCTAATTTAAGTTTCATTAAATAATAGAGTAAATAAACTTTTAAACGTGTTAGAACACAATTTATTTTGTAGCATGTATTTGGACATCGTTGTACAGTCACTGTGGAAGTGGCTCACCCTACAACTAATTAAATCTAGTATGATCGATAACAGGAGATTTATTTATTACCAATAATTCGATCAGTTTAAGAGATTATTCTTCACAATTGCATCCGCCATTTTTATGTAGATGCTCGATAAAAATTACGAGTCACGTAACATGCAATTCATTGAAAAAAAAGAATGCAGAACATATAGCATTATTTCTTCCCATTTTCTCTCAATAAATCGATCTTTTTTTTGACCAGCCATGCTATTTTCAAGTACTGGTAACACCCAACGGGACTACCATATGACGCGCAGCTGGGATAACTGCACGATGAGTCATTCGAGCTCGTCAACCCCTAAACTTCTTCAGATCTGCTCTCTCCCTATTCCATCAAAAATAGCAACAGCAATCCTTTGAAACTTCCTCCGGAATTGCAGCTGCAAATTCAGTTTGGAATCTCTGCAATGTATCATATATCCACAAAAACGTAGCCTAATGGCAAAATAAAACAATTGAAAGCGAGTTTATGCTGGAAAACATGGGTCTTTTTTTCGTGCATCGAATGTGAAATCATGTTCGTCACGAAGGGTGAGTCAGCCACCCTCTCCAATGACGGTCAAGGCGACGATTGGAGGAAGTTTCAAAGGATAGTAGGAGGAATCCAATAGTAGGGGAAGGAGAGCAACGATGCTTCACGATTGGCTAATGTTCGGGGTCGGAATTCGTGGTGGGAGTAGACAGTCAGAGCGTAGGATCTGCTGAAGGAAGAGTGGAAGAGTGGCTCCGCCGGTGTTACCTGGTGTTACGTGCCGCGGAATTTCTATCCGGTCAGTCAGTGTGCTGTCTCCTTCCTGCCCTTGAACGTTCGGCTGGACGGTGCCTGCTACCTCTTGTAGTGACAACTGACAGGTCAGTGCTCTTTGCGCGATACATTCTATCTCGCCGTTTAAATTGTCCGCTGATAAATTTTCTTTGAGTGAAAGAATCGTATCGGTGTCATTGTACCGGTACATTCGCCGGGACCGGCTTTCTTCCTACATTGAAGAAAGGCGGTAGCACAATCGCACATATATACATGTTTTTAACATTATGAAAGCTATCCGAAGGCGGTCATCGTTGATACGTTGCTCATCCTGTTTGTCTTCAACAAGCGGACCGATAAACGCGGACCAATAATTTTTAACGATATCGATCGTGTTTATTATTCAATGATCAAAAATGGAGGGGTGTGGTCAAATCTCCATACAGGTCCTGTGCATTTATATATTTATATACATTTCATTTTCGAATCATCCATTTTATCCTTCGCCGGAAATCTGAAATATATAATTTTTTATAATTTCATAGAAATTTAAAATAATTTTACAATGTGTAATTAAATTTTTACTGTGGTATTTTGTGCTTTATAGAACAGAATGAAATTTTTTTATAATATAAACCTTGATACGGGAGTTAATTCGAAAGTGAACAAGCCATGTACATATAAAGAATCGAGTAGCTACCCTAAAGCTATCATCCGGTTTCCAGATATACTCAGATATAGTTTTCCTTTAAAAACAAGAGACTTATCTTTGATTTTAGATTAAAGTTGAAAATTTCCAAATATGCAAATCTCCGAATTTTCCAAATTTCTGAAATTATAAATTAAAAAGTTCATTGCTCTGAATATTTGAAGCTTGTAAATTCGAACATTTCTGACTGAAAATTTACCAATAAAAAATCAACGCCCGGTGTGGTCTTTTCCCCCATCTCGCCATTTTCCCTAGAGAAGCTTTACGGTGCACGCCAGTGTAGGACGGTAGGATTCGACAAGGGCGTGGTTTTGACAAATGCATTTCCGTTGCGCATCAGGCGCACAAATATATTCCTCGTTACCGACTGGCAAGCTCTCCCTTCGAGTCAGAACGGTTTCTACAAATAAACCCAGTAATGAACTTCGACTTAATTTAAATGAAAAATAATTTAGTCAACATTTCAATGAAACTTGTAATGAGAACTGCGTTCTGCTATAATTAAATGTATACAGTTTAACGCGTCGTATCTTCAAAAGGGAGAATCCAGTATTTGCATCTTATCATGTCCTGGACAAGTTAGGTCGTTTCAAGGCAAGCAAGAAGGCCTTTCGAATAAGTAAAACACTTAACAAATTCTATTCGACCACGATTTTCATTTACTGCACTTGCAGAAAAAATGTATTTTTAGAACAACAAATGCACGATAACTTTTATCGTTCTCATAACCCATTACGTCGAACGTAGATAAAGAACATTATATATATCGATAAATCAAAGTACTTATTGTAAATAAATTTAAGACACCTACGTTAGCAATGTTTGTCTTAACAGATGCATACATGTATGTCAATAGAAGGTGAACATAGATTAAGATGAAGCCTACGCGAAATATTAAAAATCACCTTTTTACCCATGACCATGAAAACCGAGGTCGTCGATACGTTATAAAGTAGATATAGATAGCAGGGAGGGAGGGGTTCACGAACCCCACTCTTCGACCCCCGCATTGCCAATCGATGAAACCGTCTGCCACCCGTCGACCGCTCCCCCGATGCAACCCCGTTTACACGAACCTACACATGCACACGCATCATAGACCTTCGCATGTATTTCATTCACATCACGGAAGAGAAGTATCTCTGAGATTTCGAGCATCTTCAAGGTCGGAGCAGTCAAGGACCTTAGGTTATCTCCTCGAACGTTATGAAGAAATACTAAATACCTGAAACAAACACCAAGAAAAAATTAATATATTTAAAAAATTATTTCATATTTTATTTATGATATTTACATCAGCCTTGTTGCTCGTCAATTTGAAGCGTAGTAACGAAAGCAATCTGCAATCTACGAGATTGGGTCAAAGGGTGTTCCCTTCAACTCTATTCATTCGCAGTGTATACCGTAGTACTTGTTCACGAAATCTTGACCGCTGAAGAGGATCCTTTACGCTCGTGTTACCAGGCGAGATCACGGCATAATTTCGTGTACAGCATGGTTGACTTTCTTGCGGAAAATAATCTGCAGGAGAAAACGTTCCACTCGTTGTAACACTTAAAAATTATGTACTGTAGAATTTTTATATTTGAATATTTATTTTTTTTAATATATTGTCATATTTTTTTTAATATATTGTCATATATCTTTTTTTAATTTATGATTTGTCCAAAATTAATCTTACAATTTAGATTCTTAGTAGTGAAAATTTTCACTATAATATATGTATTATAAAATAAAATTTTCCTGTATAAAGTTTACAAGCAGCAAGATCTATAATCTGGGAAATTAGATTATAAAATATTTTGATTGCAAAGAATCTATTAAAATTAATATTGGTATTAACGTCGGTATTATCAATAAACAATTGCGTCCATTGATAAAAACCGAAGTACGCAGATCGAAGAGCCGCTTAGTAACACGTAATACGCCCCTGAATTGTACGCGCCACCGCTCGATACGATACGCGCTTGTCCAGGGTTCGTTAGCCGTCACGGTCGCACGAAAGAGAGACAAAGAGAGCATTTGTATCGCGTTTTCTTCAGCCACGAGTGCAACGCGAAATCATAGCAACACATTTTCTAGCTATACACCTAGACGCAAGCTCTCTTTGAATGAAGACTGAATGTAGGAGGAGCTTAGATTTACATCAAATAATATTATTTGATATTACATCAAATAAACTTAAAATTGACAAATTTATAAATGTTCAAGATTTCAAATTTCCAAAGCTAAATTTTAAGCTTTAAATTAAAAAGATTCTAAATTTGAAAATCAACCAACAGAAGAGTGGTACCCCCTGCTAGGTTTCCCCAAGGAAGCCTGCTTGTAAGTATGTTGTGCTCGCTTTTACATGATTACTGCATGTAGGTGTACTATGCAATCGATCAGTCGATACAAAGCCGCACAAAACCAAATTGTTATGTACTTCAATGCGGTCTTCAATTAAACACGATTAGCCAAGTTAATTGGCATCCCGCGCAAACTCGTTAGTCGCCAGTAAGATCTCTCTTTGCCCGGGAACCCACGACAATGCCCGATGAAACCCTTCAACGATGGCTCAATGTTATCGACCCACAGTATGCACTTACAGTTGATCAGTTTCAGACACGTGCGTTTAACAGATTACTTGAAGGTCGTTGTTTTCGGATGATAGGTTACCGACTGAAAATTATATGGAGGTTATGCGTCAGCTACACAAGTTAAGAACATTTTGTAGAAAGTTTCGAGGTTATCATTTAGTTGAGAACACAAACCTTGTGTGATGTTACGATCTTTCGCGATGAGTACAAGCATCGAAGCGTGGCATACACCGACGCGTACTGCAAACCGGCTAGCGCGTCGGTGCGAGCAACCTAGTTTCCTTATTAACTTGCAGACCTCTTTTCTCCTCGCGAGATCAAGTAGAATTTATCGTGGTTTCTCCGGACACTGGCGTACCGAACATTTTCAGTTCTCCTTTCGTGTTGCGACAATCCAATGAGATACATTTTCGAACGTGCTTTCATGGCTTTCGTGAAATCGACCGACTTAACGGTAACAGTCTCCGTATTTGCATGTTCGTTACATATTGCTATATGCATAAATACAAATTTTACTAAAAGGTTGTAATAATGCTAGGAGAGCTCAAAAGCGGGTGCATTGACCTTAACCTCTAAGTGGGCAACCACTTCCTTTTAAGAGTTTTGTATAATCTACCTAAAATTAAAGCGTCAATGGATGCGATTTGAAGCGGTTATCTCTACAAAACGTTACGTTCGAATTGCGTGTATCAATTGTAAGATTAATCGCTGTTTCTGGTCTTCATTTTCTGACCGTTACGCGCAACGTTGTATCTGTGTACGCGTGCACTCGATGCAACACTCCTACACGGGTACAAAAGACAGGGAAAGAAGAAATATTCAACGAGTGGATACGTAAAGGACGCGAACGTGTTCCACGGTTGCGTATTCAGCCTCTTTCGAGCTCTCTCTATATACAGCCATACGACCGGCTACCATATAAGGACCTATACACAGCCTTGTCGATGCTGACCCACCGTTGGAACGTATCCCTCGAAACGCTCTCCTGAAACCTCTGATGCACGCTTATCCGTTGATTCTACTCTTCCAATCTGTTTTGATTTTACTTGTTTTTATCCTGCTGTACGCATTTAGAAAAATAGTTACGACTTTTACATTCCTGAAAAAAGAATTTTATTTACTGAAGTTTTAATTTTATACTGAATTGTATTCAAATTTATTCACTTTTGTAACTTCCTTTTTTAAATCATGTGTAAGTCGGCAAGTTTTGTCTGCTGTTGAGGAAAAAAATTTATTTTCCAGCAAACCGTTTGCGTTTTGATAAAGTGATGACGAATTTAAGCATTATGTCAGAGTTGTTTCAAGTGCCGATAACACAGATTGCAATATTCAACCATTCGGATTGCAAGGTATATAATTGCTTCTTCGCATTAAATCTAGAAATGATTATCCAGTTAAATATGATAGATACCATCAATGCTAAACAAGGAAATAAAGGAAATAAGAGAAAGAAATGGAAGGAAGCGCCTCGGCGGGCATGAGTCATTCCGGGTTCAGTGGTGCACAAACTTTTTTCCAATTTCACGTTCTTTCATAGTAAACTTCTGGAAATTCATTCACCGGTAGTTGCGCAGATCTTCTAGTAGGTAGGTATATGGTAGACAGTGTTCTTCAATAAATTTAATAGATGGACAGGTTAGTCAAAATATCCTGTATTCTGAATTTCGGTTGTGCGTCACTGCAACCATAAAGCGTAAAAGCAATATGAGTAACGAGTTCGACGTACGGGTATACTATACATTTTAAACTTTAGAGGTCCCGCAAGAACGTGCCGAGATTACGAACGTCGCAGTTTTTACATATTTACGTGCATAAAATATCCGTGTACAGTTTATAAACTTACTTTCATAAAAATATCGATGTTTGTTGTAAATAAATTAGAGATGAAGGATATGTGACCAGAAAGGAAATGGAAGGAAACGTAGACCGGAAGTAGCAAGCTTTCGTTGCTTCCGCTTCGTAACAAGGGCCGACTCGAGTGCGTAGAATGTGTGGAGTACTCCACCCTTGGAATTTGATTAAATGTGGAATTCCATATTTCGCATTTTTGCAATGCACGGAATTCCTTGGAATTAGCGTGAAATTCCACGTCTGGGATTTGTGCGTATTCCACTACTCTTACCTGTAAAACTTATCGACGTTACGAAATTATCGATTAAATTTAATTGTGGGCATTCAATTATAATTTTTAAATTCATTTCAATTGAAAGAACTATATTCAGCGATTGTAATCAGAGTAATAAGCGTGTATGTTAAAATTCAGCTTTCCGACATAATTATGGCAAATCCGTTATTTTCGTCTGTAAGAAAAACCGAGACGACCGGAAGTAGTAGACGAGCAACGCTTGCTTACCTTTGCATTCGCCAGAAACGATGCCGTTATTCGCGCGGAATTTATGGCACTTACGACTTGTTTCTTCATCTTTCATCTTGTTTTCAATCAAACAATATTTCTTATCATCTTTTCCTTTGTTATTGTTATATTTGTACAGCTATAAATCTTAAACGCGCATTTATTCGTTTCGAAGTGAAAATTGGAAACAAGTACAACGAACAATCGTATTGTTCGTTTCGACATTTCTGTCGATATTAGTTTGAAATATCGCGAGAAGCGTTCGGTATCGATACATGTCGGTAGGTATACATGTACGTAAGTAGGTATGCGAAATAACCATATCGCATTTACAGTTTTGCCTCGTTCTCGATAATACGATAACAATAAATCTACGCTCTTCGTTGACAGTGATGATTCGTACACTTTCTTCTTTTCAATATATACGTGACGTTCAGTGGTTATTGTTCAAGCGAGAACAAAGAAAACGAGTCGAAGTCAAAGGAAGAATCGCGCCGTAAATGCACCGTAGTGAAATTGCGTTTCGTGGATTCTCGAAATTCGTCGAATCGAATTGCAGTAACTTCAATTCGTTTTTAATCGATATACGATTTCTAATCGATACATGTTGCGCAAATTGACATTGTGATTGATCGATTACAAACATTTTGAAATATAATTATGCTTTGTCGTATGATCGATACATCGTTAAACTCGACCGCCTTGAACAAAAACATATCGTATTTATGCAAACTCGCTGTATAGCTCATTTTTAAACCGTGGTTCAAGTTGGTCACTTTTTTAATTGGAAATTCTTTCGCTTCAAGATCTCGCTTTTTGGATATTGGCAGCTAAGAAAACAAATTACAAGTTGCAAAGTATGAGAGTGTTATTACAAACATAATGTATCACAAACTGTTATAGTATTTTGTTCGATTGATTATTAACAAGTATTTCTATAAATTATTACAAATAGTATAATATGTTATATAGAACTACACAATATATTCTTGTCGGTAATAATTAGTTTTTCTGTTGTAGATTGAGGAGTACAACACAAAGCCATGTCGAGTCCGTCGTTGAAAGACCTGCCAAAAGTAGCCTTAGACTTGAAAAGCGAATTAGAAGGTTTCAATCATGGCTGCATGAAGAAAGCTGCGACGGCCGAAAAAAATGTTTTACCTTCCGCTGAAGGTACAAATTCTATTACTTTTGGTTTGAATTGTGTGTTCTTTTTGTTTTCTTTATTCCTCTAAAGTAACAAATGTTGTAGAAGAATTTTAATGTTAAAAAATTCGTTTGATCGATTGTAATGCATGTAATGATAATATTGCAATGTAGACGTACGACAAGAACGACAACATTCCGAATTAATCCACGATGTGGAGTCTTTTAAACAAGATCAGTTGAAACATGCCGACACGAAAGAGAAGATCATTTTACCCAATGCCAAAGGTATTCTACATAGAAATTTATCAATTTGTAGGAACATTTGCAGATTCTTCGGTGGGTGACAGGAGGTTATTGCGGCTTTTTGGTGCTTCGAGGTGACGCGATCAAAACCCACGTGATGAAGACTGGCGCAAGGCGGGTTCAGAACATTCCTGGCAACTTTATATAGCAAAAATGCGTCCTGTTTTGGGGCTTTATACTATCATTTATGCAGAACATTATACACTGCATAGTACGTCTTGATTTGGCTCTCTTTATGTCATATATATGGTGGTCAAGTTTGGAACCTCCCGCAAATGTTCGCGCCAGTCTTACACGTAATATCAGACAAGCTTCTTATTAGGGATAAACCGATATTAATAACATACTTTTATTTGTGATTTGTATATTCGATATCGTAATCAAAAGCATTTGTATCGATTCATCCCTATTTTTTATACACATTTGCTTTCAGCTGAGGGATTGTTTTGCATGTGCCGTCGTTGGTCAATTACGTACTTTACACCGTCGATGATAATAACACAACGTTATGTCCGCTCAGCGATAAACGTTTTAGAAATATCGCACAATAACAATACAGCTTGAATATTCTTTGTTAAGGGCAACAAGTTTAAAAAAAATAGTGTGATCTGTCCGCTTAAGAAATACATTTCACTTGAGTGATTTATGTACACTGTTCCTAAAATGGTTTTATGGTGATATCTTTTTATCATGGAAACAATATTTAGCGTGTTACCTTTGTACGTGTTTTGTTTTTCTTTCTCTGACCTTGATTTACTTTTTTGTAGATGTAGCCGCGGAGAAGACTCAACAAACGTTGATGTCGGGCATCGAGACATTCGACCCGACCAGTTTGAAACACACCGAAACTCAAGAAAAGAATCCGTTACCTGATAAGGACGGTAAAGTATCATATTTCTTTTTTGTAAATCATTTATGTCTTCCATAATTTTGTGAGAAAGTAATCAAATGGATGGATGCTGTAATAGAAATTAAATCTTTTCCATGTAGCGATTCAACAAGAAAAAGGAAAACAGCAATTAATCTCTGGAATTGAAAATTTCGATCCTGCAAAGCTGAAACACGCCGAAACGCTTGAGAAAAATCCCTTGCCTACCAAAGAAGGTGAGCGAATAATACAAGAAAAATTGAGTTTGTTTTTCATATTGAAAATATAAGTAAAATAATGTTTCTTGTTGCAGCAATTGACGCCGAAAAAATAGCTGCTTAAAGAAAGCTTCAAAACCGGAAACACAAAAAAGAAAGGAAGCAGCGACTCGTCATTTCTTCCATTTTCTATATCGTGACATTTTATAACAATTACTCATACATTGTCCACAGGAAAAAAGAAGAATGCGACACACTGTGTTAATGTAATCTTATGATTATACTTATCCTACCGCCATGAGCGTCCCTTTCGGCGAGACGCACAAGTCGTTTTTTATACGAAAACTATTAACGATGAAAACGACGATGAGGGTTCGGGCCCAAATTTAATTAAAATAATACGATCAAACTTTACAAACGATCTATTTGATTCCTACTGTTACCAACATTAAACGATTTTGGGTCTGTATCAACATCCGTCTAACATTAACTCGCCAAAGGATGTACTTTTTATACTAAGAAAGCTGCACGTGAGCAAACGTTATTTTCGATAGCAACAAAATTATTGGGTAGCATTGCATGCGTTACAGATGTCGCAATGGTGCAGCGGTTGATCTTATATTTGTGTAAAAATCATATTTTATATAACGGGCTATTGTACTTTTTTAACATTTCGTACACATCGCATTGTCATTCCGATGAAAATTATTATGACGAATAAAAAAAGTAATTTGTACGAAAAGTCTTATATGTCCATACACCAATTTCATTAGCAAAGTTTTCCTTACAGATAGCAATTTTTATCATGTACATTTATAACATTCATGATTTGACTCATGTACTGACTATATCATGAATTTGCTGCAACAATGACAAAATTAAAATTTTGAGTTTTTGAATTACTCAATTTAATAATTTTGAAGACTTGTATATTTTTAAATTTAAGAATCTATAAATTTGAAAATTTGTATGTTTAAAAATTTGAAAATTTTTAAATTTGATTTGATATTCCTAATGCATATTTCATTGACGCACACATCGTGCACGCACGCACGCATCGCTGTAATAAGACACGGGTGTCATTCAAACAAAGGCGCGAAAACAAACAAAGGGGACTCTGCCATTTGAAACTGTTTCCCTATAAGTAGTAGTGAGGTCCTTTTCTCTCGAAAAACAATTCCTGAAAGTACCGAATAACGGTTCATGATTGGTCGATAAGTTGTTTCCGTCCAATAGTATTGTGGAAATCGATTCTATTAGTAACCCAACGGGGAAGGACCTGTTGCTGGTACCATAATAATCATGGTATAATCTTAAATGCAAAGTAACAGTCAAATCGGATTATATCTTACAAGTTTTGTGCCAATTGTCACCTGTTGATCGAACAAATATTTCGTATGTGTCCAAAAACAGGTAGCAGTATATCTTTTTTCTAAATAATACATATTCTAACACTATATGATTAACAATAGATCAAAATAGTCTTTCGGCTTTCATGTTTTCAAATGTGTTGACCTTGCTGTTAAACGTATCATGAAAGTACAGAAATTTTATGTGAAGAATTCGAAACATTTATCTGGTTATTAAGAATTTATGTAGTCTGAATTTTTTAACATGGAAAATAGTATCTTCTCATAGAACTTTTTAATTTTAAAATGATTCATTTAATTGCTTAATTGAGTCCTTTGTTTTCTTCAGTTATAAAAAATGGAAATATCACCTAGAAAACCATCTAAACGATCACAAGAACCTGTGGATGAATGGCTACAAACTGAAGGATATTTCAGAAAACATGCTCCCAAAGATCCAACTTGTCTGTTTAGAGCAGTTAGTGAACAAGTTTATACGACGCAACATTATCACATAAGAGTCAGGAAAGAATGTGTAGAATTTATGAGGAAAACGAAACACTTATTTATAGAGGTATATTGAATATGTTTAATTTAATTATAGAAACATAAGATTTTATATTATATAATTATTTTTAGAACATAACGATTCCATTTGACAATTATATCGAGCAAATGGCTTGTTTCACCGAATGGGGTGGTGTTAATGAAATTCAAGCCATGTCATTGCTTTACGAAAGAGAATTTATTATATTTAATGGTCAAAAGCAAATCAGTCACAATGTTACTAACAATGGTTTCAAAGATACAATATACCTGTGTCACACCCCACCAAAACAATATGAAAGTATATATTCCAGAGATTTTGTTGCGACTGCTGCTTATTGCCAATGTAGGATTTCTTTGTTATTTATCTTATATGCGCTTTTAAAGTACTAAAACTATGAATAAAACATTTTGTTTCATTTGATTTTCAGCTATTGTTTATCAAGTACTATATAAAAATGTCTTTGGAATGACTGATATAGAAGATACTGTTCATAAAATGTTACATGATCGAAGTGGTACATTTAGGCACGATAAGTTTTTCCTTAAAGGCAATTTAGAGATGAGGGAGTAAGTATGTTAGTACATGTACCATTAATATTTAGTCTAGAATATACTTTAAATTTAACTATATGTTTAGTCAGCTGGCTACAGAAATATATACAAAACTTGAAAATGGAACTGATGAGGTTGATGATACACAAGTTGTATCAAAAAATGTACCACCTTTTCCATATAGAATCGCTAAAGCTCTTGATCCCAATATCTATCGCAATACTGATTTTGATATTTGGCATGAAATCAGAAGAGGTAAAAAAAATTCAGTCTATATTACAAATAATTGTATAAAAAAAATACTGAAAATTTAATTGTTTCAGAAGTTAAAAATGCAGGATGGATCAGACACAATAGCCATGAACTTCAAGTTGGAGGCAAATGTTTAGTACAAATGGACTTTAATGAGGAGAATGTTGACGAAGCTAATAATAATAATGTTTATGTATCTTCTCTTGAAAAGGAATCTGATAATGATATAAAAACAATACAGACAAAGGGTAAACAAGATCCTATCTTTTTTTATGGACATATACAAGAAATGAGTAAAAATCAGGGACCAGTACTAGTTTTTATTGAAGAATTAGGAGAGAAAAAAGTTGTACCCTATTCTGCTCTTAAGCCATTGCCTTTAAAAAAGAATAAACAGAACAATTGGCTATCAACGTGTAAGAGGAACGTGCTCTTAGATTCGAGTTAGTAATTGAATGTATGTTATATCATTAATAGTTTTATGTACTTTTATTTTTTACCGTTGTATATTTTAATAGATCAGAAATGGAAAAAAACATGTGGCACAACTCCGCGAAAAATCAAAGAATCTACTAATATGAACATTCTATCAAACAATGTTGATAAAATTGGGAATAATGATAACGATATTAACAAAAATAATTTTCAGTGGAAAGAAGGAAATTTGTAGGTATATTTTATTTGCATTACTATTTTAAATTTGCAAAAGATATAAATTTATTTCTTGGTAATATAGAAAGGTAGATCAACGTGGATATGAAAATTATACGATGGAAAAGTGTTCCAATTACTCAGTTAATGTAAGTTAAAAAGATGTAATAGTAAAAGAAAAGACATGATATCATAATAAATTTGTTCTTATAGAATTCAATACCTGCAAGAAACATTCTTGATAATACTCAATCTGCAGTGGATTCTGTTAAGCAAGAAAATAATAAAGAACGCAAAGAGAAGATCTCGTTTACAAATAAAAATTCTGAGAATAATATGATAAAGAATTTAAAATCTGATGGTACAAATAATAATAATAATACAGGTTTCAATTCATACTCTAAACAAAGAGTGCAAAAGGAAGCTTATTATTCGACATATCCCGGTATGTAACTCAAAATGTCGGTCTAGGAACTTAACAAATTTGTTTATGTATTGTTTAATATTCAGGAGATTCTGCGACTCAAATGGACAATATGCTACGTTCTATTAATTGTTCTGTTCAGAAAAGCGTTGATATAAATGGTAGTGATTTACCATTATCAGGTAAATAGACCTGTCGTTTATTAAAACACATTATTTAACATTCATAGTCACAATCATTTTTTCCATTATAGATCCATTCACTTTAAGATTTTTTTATAATTTAGGATTAGAGGTGAGTTTCGTTGTTCAGCCTTAAATTAACACGTTAATCAGTCATTTCTTTATTCTAAATTATTTTATAGTATTTTCGTGGAAACACTAACTGGAGCTATTTAACAAATGGACAATCGCCTGACTTTGGACAATGGTATCAAGGTAGGTAAAATTTTAAATTAATTCTTTTTTCATATTGTACTTATTCTTCATTAATATCTTATTGAAAAGGAGTACCTCAAAATGATGTGGAAGTTGTGAATATTACAAATAACGCGATGAAGAACTGTACATTGACTCAAAGAAAAGAAAATAATGATCAAAAAGAAACGGGCACACCCCAATTGGCGTGTAACGGAAATGAAAATAAAAATGATACTAGCGAAACACAAACTGTAAAGACTGAAGATTTAAAAGGTGACCATGGGAATGACTTGTATTCGACTCGTGATAAGGACCAGGAGCCTATTAATAGAGAAGCGCCTCGTATGAGTAGAAGCAGTGTGGGCCCAAGATTTAAAAAAGATAGTATGTTTTAATAATGTAATGAAAAATGATAAATTGTTCTTTATTTTAATTGCGGTCATTTTACAGCTCGACATCGTTCTACTCAACATTTTACATCATCAAACAATCAATATTCATCCAATGAAACATCTAATTCTAAATCTCCAAAGTTAGAGAAGGAAATGAAAGATGATACAAATATACAACATTCTCATTTAATGCCTCAACAGATGCATACACCTACAAATGCGATAAACTCTTATCAAGTACCCTATATGCAGCATGGCATATATACTGGGTTACCATACTATGGTAACGAGGCAGAGGGATTCGTGAATTCTTATTACCCTCCGAATACAGGATTTTTTCCAATCCCTTGCTTACCACATTCTGAAATACCGGATAGCAATGGCATACAACCATATTCACCGCATATGTGCCCTGGTATGGATTATGCGCAAGCCTATTCTGGGTTGTGTCCGTCGTACGTGTGTCCTCAACCGGCTCCATACACTATGCCGCCGCAAAATGTGCAAGAACATTGGTATGCAGTTGCTGGACAACCGCATTACATGCAGTATGCACCTGTAATGCCTGTAACCGCAGAAACAACTTGCAATGGAATAGCACAAAGTGCAAGTCCGAACGTTTCACCTTAAAACTTACAGAATCTATGTCTTTATACCACTGATAGTGTTGAAGACGATTCATGATATATATAAATATCATATAACTTCAGAATTTTTGAAATCCTATGTTTTGAAATAAATGTTAAAAATATATTACATATATTACAAACTAGAAATTCAAATTTAAAATTGAACGTAAGTTTTCTAATTTCGTATAATGTTAAGTGATCATAGTACAAACTGCTGTGCCTAAGTATTAGTAGAAATGCCTGTATAAATTAATTAGTTCCTCCAGTACAGTTTCTTCACTGTACATTGCTCAAAACAAAACAGATACCTCATAACATTTTATACAGGTGACTTAGTTTATTAACAATTACGGTCATTTATACTTCTACATGTACTTTGTTAAAAGATATTTTGAAATAAAGAACGAACATGAGTATTTATCTAGTTTTATTTAGCGTATTCTATTATAAAATTGTATTCACATAAGTTATAAATATGAAAGGAGTGCAATAATAGTTGATATCCCTTGACATGTGGTCTTTTAAATTTATACTTGACTTTGCAACTTCTTTGTCCGCGTTTTTCTTTTGCACCACTCAACCAATTCTCATCAAATTTTGCACGCACATGCGTATGTACATCCAAACGTACATAGGAAAAAAAAATTTTTAATTGTACTTTCTACGGAGGAATAATCACCAAAAAAACTGATTTTAAAAAATGGGGGTTCGAACACACATATAAGGAAAATAAAAAAATGAATATTTCGGCACTTTGACGACGTAGTATGGTACCTGAGGCATTTAGAAACAAATTTCTATTAGGGTTTGATGCGTTTTGATGCCTAATAAAGCCAGAAAATGAATTTTTGTCGAATTCGGTCCAAAACGGTACAAGTGGCGCCATCTAGCGGCGAGCGGCGGAACTACGAAAAACTAAAATTTCGATTTTCTTGAAAACTAGGCACTTTTCCGAAATTCTGAGATATACAAATTGTTCCTTATCGCCTACGGAATCGAATGAGTACTTTCATAGCCCTCTAGGACCCTTATTAAAGAAATTAGAAAAATAGCCCATTTCATGGACCAAAAAATTGCCGTCCATCTAGCGGTGAAAGTTGGAACTAATCGAAAAAG